AGGAGGTCCTCAGTGAACTATCTTGCGCATTCTGCACTGTCGGCACTTGGCGATCTGATAGAAGTATGTTGCCTTCCTGATTTGAGTTCGCAAATCTTTGGTATTTGCGTACTATATGATCAGAGTTGTCTTCTGATGTGTCTGTTTCCCGATCTGCATCATTGTCAGATGGGTTCGTGCTGGCTCTGACAGCCGCAACCTCTGGTCAAGTTTCTGAGCTTTACTGCCTTGAGGCACCTAACCTCATTTGAAACTCTTTTGACCTCTTCCTCCAAGTCTTTTCACTGCAGTTTAGCGCTATACACAAGGCTGCAATCAACTTATAGTAAGTGAAGTATTTATAAAGGCAACGCTCCAGCTTTTCTGGTGACATCTCCCAGCCTTCGCAAGGATCCCCAATGTCTCATAGTCTATCTGCGTTCCTCCTATGTCACCTCTTATGCATATAGAACTTTTGAGAATTATTCTTGATTTCTGTTCTACAATTTTGATCTGCTCTTCTAGCTTTGTCAAGAATGCTTTTCTGCTTTTGTCACCTGTGCGAAAAACTGTGTTCAGATCTTTTTCGCACTCGATGCTTACGAGGTTCAAGCTATCATGTACTTCCTTGTACATCTCTGCCATGGACGAGATTCGGTCTTCTGCCCGTTCTTAATCACCTCGTTATCTGTACTTGGCTGGGCTCTATGTTCCTCTTCTTCCTTCATCATGCCACTCGAATCTTTGGAACGAACACTGCAACTGAGCGACGTAAAACTCGAATGCACACGTCAATGCACCGAGTAGTTCTGCCACACTTCCAAAGTATGGTTCTGCGATGCTACGCACTCGCGGTAGCTCTTCAACTCGTACAAGCGGCCTAAAGCGCGCTCTATACCGTCAACGCTAATCGACCAATAGATCGATAGATTACGCGGGGATAAACTGCCGCCTCAGAAATCAATATGGGGACCAGTGGTGCCCCAGTCTATCGGGTCAGAACGCGATAGTTATGCGGAATACATTTGCCGCTCCAAATCGATTTGGCGGTCGTTGACGCTTCGAACTTATTCGATTTTGGAGGTCGTTGACACTCCAAACTTCAGCTTCTTCTGGAAGGTCTTCGACGCTTCCACAGTTGTCGGTGCTAAGTCAGCGGTTCGGGTCCCAAGTGGCGGTTGGACGGTAAGGACCGCAGGTTCCACTGACTTAGCGGGACAACTGGTAAAAATATAAATGGTTTATCTAAAAATATGACAAACCACAAGAAGAAGCTGATATGCAAATACAGAGAATAAGAGTAGCTAAATGATGAGATATAGAAGAGTAATACAGAACAGTGAGTATTGATGAGGACCTGTCGAGGCACTGTTGAGGAACAAACTACACATCTTAGAACCGACACACGAGATGGTGATTGGTGATTCGTACATCCTATAGGTTTGGTTCAAGGCTAATAGTGTGACAAAAAACTTAGACGGGACGCCTGGGTGCTACAATTCCAAATGGCCGGGATCACCAAGTGTCGTTTCCTTGTTAGGCAAAAGCCGCCGAAGGGTGTATCGCGCATGGCAGTGGTCCTAAGAAAGCATTGCGGTCGCGGAAACCTTCTATACCATACGAATTGCCTTCATCGTGGGGATTGAGCACATATTTCTGTAGCAGCACTTTAGTTAATTTCTGCCAAGGTTTCAGGCAGGTTCATGATTTTTATCCGCTGCCATGTACATACCTAACTCTGCGAAAAGGTCTCAAAACGCAAGGAGAGTGTTTTAATCGTGGTCAGAAGGTCGAATCCTAGAAATCTCTCTGGTTTCAGCCAAAATTGAGATTCTGCCCCTCTGCAATATACCTACCATAACTCAGTGAAAACGCCCCAAAATGCCGAAGGAGCATGATATTCGTTATCAGCATGTCAATTAGCCCCCTAAGCAAACTTTCAGCGAAATCCATGATTTTAGCTCCTTACGTGTACCCACCGTAAACCCAGAAAATGCCGCTATCGTGCGAAATGACTACGATAATCGTCATCAGCGGCTCGAATAACCCCCATATACGAGTTTGAGCAAGATCCTTCGCAAAAACATTTTGGGGTCCGGATAGCCGAATAGCGCCGTCAATTTTTAGAGTTATCCTTACTTTTATCTGTTTTATTGATTTTTTGAGAAGTTTAAGCTATGGGGCTGGGGTTGGTTAGGGAGGTACAGTCTGCCCCAATCCTAACCAGGCCGGATTGGCACGAACGCAGCGTCCGGGCATTATGCCAAGCATCAATCAATAGCCAAATTCAGTCTCGATGGAGCTCTTCTCGCGTTTTCGTGCTCACCTACAGTCTGCCCCAGTCCGGACCAGGCCGATACGTTTTAGCGGAGATTCCGCTAAAACGTATCGGCCTGGTCCGGACTGGGGCAGACTGTAGGTGAGCATCTGATTAATAACAAATAGGGAATTGAATGTAGAAGCGGGCACAGAGAAAGGTTGTACAGGGATAGGAATGGAACCTTTTCGTTTCTGATAGAACCGCGCGGAGCCGGGTAAGATAGCTAGTGGTCAATAATCTGGAACATCACAGTTTTGGGACAATCAATAATCTCTACTTCCACCGCTCAAAACCGCATGCGAGCGGCTGCAGCGCATGCAGCACAGTTCCGGCACAATTCCAGCACAAAGCGAAACTATGACTGTTCCAGAACTTCCGGAACAGTGTGAATCTAGGCTAAGGATAAAAGAGTCCTGGGTTATGCGGATCTAGTTCAGAACTGGTATAACTCCATGGCCTAGTTCATTTGTTATAGATATGCAATCCCTTTTACTGTTTCATCCTCAGAGTTCCAGCCGAGATTTAGTTTCCCGTGCCGACAATTTAGTTACTCGTGACAAAATAGACCCACTGATGTCAAACTCCAGGCTCACTTGAAGGCAGTGTCCGGGCAAAAACTCGATTTTGGGATTTTGTGCTTACCCGGGCCTATTCGCTATGCTAAATCCGAAAATCCACATTGGAGAGCGCGAAAACGACGAAAACGGACTCTAACACTGGAGGGAGATCAGCAAGTGGGCGGGGTCTTCCTCACTGTGAATTCACGCTTCCAGCTTCCAGAGAAATTTTCTTGAATCCGTTAGCCGCCCTGACATCGCTACCGATCGTGCAAACGAATGACTTGAAACCGGAATCAAAAAGGTCGCCCCGAAGCTGGGAGCGTGAATTCACCGTGGGGAAGACCCCGCCCACTTGCTGATTTCCCTCCAGTATTAGCCCTTTTTCGACGTTTTCACTCTCTCCAATCTGGATTTTCGGATTCAGCATAGCGAATATGTCCGGGTAAGCACAAAATCGCAAAATCGAGTATTTGCCCGGAAACTGCCTTTAACCCTCTGTGCCAGTTCGCAGCCCCGTAGCTCGAACTCTGCAAAATCGATAAAGATCGATAAAATCGATGATTGTCAACAAAATGTAGCTTACGACAATCGCCCCGCGCCCAAGTGTATGTGTGCAAAGTTTGGTCCGGATCGGTTCAATGGAGTTTTCTATTCGGAATGTACGTGCACACAAGACGTACAGACAGACAAACAGGTACAGCTTCATGTATAGTTTACTCTAAAACAAATGCAGTCTCCAGGCCTGTATGATGGGTAGATTATGCAACCTGGGCTGTACAGGTTTGTTAATGTGCTCTATCAAGGAACAAGCACTGTTCACGGTTTGGTTGAAGGATTCCTATAATGCGCAGCGAGTCTTGCAAACCTGATCTTTATGCATGTCCTGTTTCGGGCTACTTAGTGCGTTTGATATAAAGGACAAGCAGAACGTCACCTCGTCAGAGTTGTCAGTGCTAGTAAAAGTAGTGTTACGGCTAATTGCACCTTCGTGAAGCGTATAATCATTCGCTTAGTCTACCAAGAGCTTCTTTGAACGATGCGGATTTGAAAGCATTGTCAGGCGAGACTGTCCTTGCCGTGCGCAACAAGTTTTGGAATACGCTAGACTTCGTCCGGATGGGATGAGCTAAGAAGCAAAATAGAAAATGTTTTTATTGCTAGGTTTTCTGAACCAGCTAGACCTGCATTCTCCCTTGGCTAAGCATATCCAAACCTTGAGGAATGGGAACTAATCTCCATCCAAGTTGGAAGGAACAAACTTGTAGCAGGATAAATGTTATAACAATCTTGATGTGGCTATACAAGTCAAAAAGAGCCTGCATTGTTCTTAAAACGATATTGAACTTGAAGAAGTAAAGCTTTGAATAGTCTGAAATCAAAACCCCGAAAGCCCAACATGGCAACCTTGACCGTTGAATGATTGGTTTTTCTTTGTGAGAATTTTAAACTTTTCGTCTAAGTCGCGGTCAAATTGGAGCTTCGAGTCATCCGCTTCTCATTGTTACATATTTTGGCCTACACTTACTGATCCGTAGAAAAAGTTCCGTCATCCGTTATATTTCTAATTTACTACGCGCTTTGTACAAAAGTTCCTGCATTCTATGAACTTGGAATGAAAGTGAGTCATCTACCGCACATCAAGTATCATTAATGTGGCTTTCAAAGTAGAGGGATTTTAAAAAAAGTTAAAGGTCATTTCTGCAGACATGTGTTTTACACATTTGCAGTGAGTCATGCTGTGGCATCTTTTTATTAGAATTTGTTTGCATATGCCTAAGATAAGGAGTAATTCATTGGTACCTTGCAGAAATGAAGGTTAAGGATATGCTTGAAAACTGTGCGGATTAGAAAAAAAGGAACAAATTTTCTAAATTGAACAACTTCTTTTCTCAACCTTTCAGTTTTCGAGAGATTCGCTCATTTGAGAAGGACCTACGCACATGGCAACAGTATGTCCTTTGTGCTTGAAATGGACATCTCGGAATTGAAGCATGGTTTTGCAAAAACAAGCGAAAAGGCGAGGATCAAGGATCATGAATGATGGAAGATTTGTTGTCAATCTTTTGTGTGTGCGAGACATTAAATGCTATTTTACCAGACCAAAAAAGTGAATGTTTCGTTCAAATAAACATAGCACTTGCCTATAGAGTTCGTAAGGTTCCATGGAATCAGAGAGTGGTGCAGCACTGAAATAGTTGAGATAAGCTACAGTTGAATATGAGCAGATGATCAATCGTAAGCAACAAGTCTGTACGCTGTTGAGCTTCGCAGAAGGGATAAGTTTGCAGATGATATGGAGAAGCATACCTGATCCATATATTTCGGCACGTATGATGTACTTGGTTTCTATCAAACCCAAGTAATTCGACCAGCAGGTAAGAAAACAGAAGAAAATCGTTGCTATAAGACCAATCACAATGAATAGGCACACGTATTTCCAGAGCTCTGAAAGATTCACCGTAAGCCTGACTATGCAAAGAATCTGTGTGGAGCAACTACCAATACAGTATGTTGGTGTTCGCTACTACATGCAACGCAATTTTAGACCGTGCTCGTTGCAACATACACAGAAGAAATTAAAAGTTAAAAATCAGTAGTCACGTTAGAAGCTAAGTGAAGCTTGGAAAATGCTAAATACCACTTTTGCTAGTTGGAGTCCTAAAATGCGGATATAACGAAGCAAAAATTGAAATCAGGCTCTATAGCTTCTGTGAAGGTTGAAGTATTACCTCGCATACAGTGCTGGCCAAAACTATAATTCCACCCTGAAAACTGCCGTGACTCATCTGATTCTCAACGAATTGATCTGAAATTTGGTACAGTTGTGTGTTCGACAAGCTACCATCAGTAACTAAAAGGATCCCGTTCTTGTTTGATTACTCAGGAAAAATCAAAAATTTTGAAAGAAGCAGGCTTTAAGGTTGGCCAAGACTATAATTCCACCCAAGTTCTGTCCACTAGAGTAATTCTCGGTTTCCAAGTCTTTTGTGCATATACATAATCAAAATTTAAAACAATCGCTTTATTCCAGCTGTGTCATACCTTTATAAGAAACGCTTATCTGCTTTTTTTCACTCAAAACTACTTTCATGCGTACTTTGTTCCCGAGAATGTGTTTTCATGGGTGATTTCGCACTTTTTTGACTGGTTTGGGAGCGATAGGGCTCCATCTATCTTATAGATGCTTAGCCAAGTGAGAACTAGAGAAAAAAAATTTGAGTTTTCATATTTGAAGAGCACCCAACATAGACCAAAGCGCAGGCCTGCGCTCAAATTTTTTGCCTTCAAACTCTTTCTGCAATGTTCTCATGAGCATGAAGCAGAGTAATAACATTGTTGTACGTATGAGAGTCCGGATGCAGTGGTTTGCAAATTTCCGCAGGTCCCAGCATGCAGGCTAATTGAGGAATTCATCCTGCAAAAACTGATTTGCAAAAAGCCTTGAACTTATTTTTGGTTCTGACCGTAATGCTCATGTGAGTCACAAGGCAACATACAATACAGGGTGTCTTCACTATCTAGCAGCTAAATGGCGGCAAAAAATTAGGAAAGGTAACACTTGGTAACAGTGGCGGTCGCAGGATTTCGGACCGCGGGGGAGGGGGCGACAAAAATTTTTTTTGTCTTATATATAAAGCTGAATGTGTGTATGTATGTATGTATGTACTTATGTGCGGAATAGAAATTTTTATTTCTGAACCGATTTGAACCAAACTTGGCACACATATACTTCGGGGCAGGGAGCGTGTCATAGGCTACTTTTCGTTATCGATCGATATCGATTTCATCGATTTTTTGCAAAATTTGAGCTAAGGGCTGGGAGTTGGCACAGGGGGGTAATCGAGCATGCTGATTACAAAAATATTATTGACAGGCCCGGGCGGAGCCGGGTTTGCCAACTAGCTATAGATAAAGATGCGTGGCGTTAGCCACGAAAAAATTTTTTTTATGGGGCTAATTTGAATTTTTAGAAGATTTTAAAAAATATTTTAATTATTTACAAAAATAAACAAGTCGTTTGCACATTTTTATAACCCATATAGGGAAGTTTACAAAATTTCGCGACCCATTCTCGGGGGGGGGGGGGCGCCCCCGCCCCTCGGTCCGCCACTGCTTGGTAAGTATTTTAGGATTGCCTAAATATTACCCTTGAACCGCGAAGATTTATGCTTTGAAAACGAACAGAATGTGGCTTGGCGAACAGTCGTAAGTATAGTGTACAAACTTCTTTTTATGTAAATAATGCTTTACATCATTTTGAGCTTACAAAAATGACATAAACTAATTTTGAAGACAAAAATTTGAGCGCAAGCTTGCTGTTAGGTCTATGTCGGGTGCGCTTCAAATATGAAAACTCAATTTTTTTCTAGTTCTCATTTCGCTAAGCATCTATAACATAGATGGAGCCCTATCGCTCCCAAACCAGTCAAAAAACTGCAAAATCACCCATAAAAACACATTCTCGGGAACAAACGCATGAAAGTATTTTTGAGTGGAAAAAAGCAGATAAGCGTTTCTTATAAAGGTATGACACAGCTGGACTAAAGCGATTGTTTTAAATTTTGATTATGTATATGCACAAAAGACTTTGGAAACCGAGAATTACTTTAGTGGACAGAACTTGGGTATAGTTTTGGCTAACCTTGGCTAACCTGCTTCTTTCAAAATTTTTGATTCTTTCCTGTATAATCAAACAAAAACGGGATCCTTTTAGTTGCCGATGGTAGCTTGTCGAACACACAACTGTACCAAATTTCAGATTAATTCGTTGAGAAGCAGATGAGTTACGGCAGTTTTCAGGGTGGAATTATAGTTTTGGCCAGCACTGTATAGGTGGACAAAAACATCTTGACTATGTACTTACAATTAGATCTAGAAAAAAGAATTTTTCGCACACGTTCAAACAGTTTGTGGTTATTTCAAACAGTTTAAGGGATCTTAAAAGCAGAATGGCAAATTTGGGATTTTCTTCTCGGTTACCCTGGATGCGCTAAGTCCAAGAATGTGCTTTGCAGCTTTAAAAGATATCAATAACCCGCTTCTCCATCCGTGAAAAGTGCTATTTGGGCGGAAGGCGTGTGCCTGTCCTCGAGCGCGATTGGCTCGTGGACACGGTAGGTAAGTTGTCCCCACTCACAAGCCAATCGCGCTCTAGAGAGCAGGGTATGCATTTCTCCCAAATAGCACTTTTCTCGTCTGGAAAAGCGGGTTATTGATATTTTTTGAAGCTGCAAGGCACAGTCTTGGAGTTAGCTTGTCCAGGGGAACCGAGAGCGATAAATGTTCCAAAGTTGTCATTCTGCCGAGCCACTGCCTTTAAAGTGGCTCAATTCGAATTCAAATGAAAAGTGAGAGCTTAACACTAGCAAGACCTACTTTGCGCAGCTTTTCGTTGCTCGACCAGCTCCTGTATAAGTTTTTGAAAGGCCAACTTCTGATTATCAGGAACCTTTTGCTGAGTGAACTGCGACCATAGCAATTCGCCAAAAGCAGAATTTATCTGGAATTCACGACTCAGCAGGGACTCCTCAGAAGCAGATAAGATAACCATGGTCGCACCGATGAGCGATGTGAGTCTGGAACCATGGTGTCAGCTGAGTACGGCCAAAATTCTGGCAGAATCCCTAACACTGAGTTTTGGATTAGTGAAAGCGAAGTTAGTATTGAGCGGCAAACATCTGCTGGGGAAGATGAACAGCAGTCGAGCGACGGCACGAAATGTGTACTTTTTACTGCGAATAACAGCTGTCGAATCCTTGCCAGAGGATATCACATCATTAGCGGGGGTGCTGTCCGACTTGATGAATTTCCTTGATCTTTAAAGCTGCTATCTGATTGTACCATGAGTATTTTGTTCCTTAAAATGACATGAAACTTGCTGAAGAAGAAAAGGTGCATAGATATCTAACTTCGGCAATATGACAGCTTTGAACGGACTACACCATAGGAAATGGGCCTCGTCCGAATCAACTAGGTGTGAAAGAAGATCGAAGAAATTTGCAAAACTCAGTTCATACGCACAAAAGTTCTCCTTTGCTTTGTTTCATGTGAAAATTTGCCTACCAGTAAAAAATCACTATCAACATAAAAAATTCTCTGACTAATATTTCTCTTAACACATCCATATGGGCATGTCAGTGTATACTATTCAGCTAATTGGGTGTTGGATGAATTTTCTATTGCATCTGCGATTCTTACTGCTTGCCTAGAATCATTCACAAGGTTTTCAAAGGTAAGATGTATAGTCTAATATTTTATTTATTTTTTCTACCTCCTAATGCTAATTTAAATGTCATGGCACATTATTATCAAATGCAGTACAAAGCTGACATGAAGAAATTGTTACCTTCCCTCTGGTATGGGATTAAGCCATTCTTTACCTTAGATCTTAGGCTTAAAAACAAAAATGCGCAAACATGTCTCACTTCATCTTCTTACTTTCAGGTCACATCTTTCCTTAGGACTAAGGTAAATGGCGAATACAACCTATTGCATTTTGGTACTGAAAACAAGGGCTATGCATGTAATTCATCTTGTAGTATGCCATAACCTTCTTATTCATGACAACTACATCAAATCAAAAACAACTGGATTGGTAATCAAGACATACAAATCCGGAGAAGCTGATTGCCAATCAAAAAATGTAGTTTACTGTATAATGTACTCAAGCTGTGGCTTCCAATATGTAGGTATAACTACAAGAAAATTTGGTATCAGGCTTAAAGAACATTTACGCGGAATCAAAAGAAAAGAAGAAAATAAACTTTTATATAAACATTTTGAAAAGTGTAACAATGACAGTAATATAAAGGCTAGCTATAATATCAAATTACTTTCTAGAGAATGAAGACACTGATATTCTGAGAAGTAAAGAATTATTTTGGACAAAATTACGCATGACAGCCATGCCATTTGGATTTAATGATAATATCAAGGGCTATGGCAACTTAACTATGGTAAGTAACCCACTTAACCATAAGAGTAATCATCCTTTTTCAATCTGAACATAACCAGAGTCAGAAATAACCGTGGTAATACAAGAAAAATGAAAAACAGACTAAAGAAGGGAGCTCATTCTATAGTAGAAGAACTACAACAATTGATTGCTAGTAATCCTTCATGTTATAACCCTTACAAAGTACTGAAAAATAAAAATAAGTATTACATTAGTTCTCTTATTAAACCTCGTTACACTCAATACTGCACCTCTGAACATTCCTACTCATTACAAGCAAGCACTCTGCTGCATATTGTGTCATTATCACTTTAATAGAGCCAATTCTATTAACCAAAAACCTATTTTCATTAATATCAGATTCCCATATTATAGTACAGTTCTTGATAGATTAGCATCAATAAGCTTATCAACAATAACGATATAACACATTTGATTAAACAACATAGCCAAAAACCTTATCAACATATTAGAGTCATTTATCAATACAATAAGCACGTTTCCACAAATATATTTAATTATAACAAAATTTCTTAATAGTCTCAGAAACCTCGATATTAGTAACATGCCATATGACTGCAATTCATACAAACAATTTGTAAACGCCAATTTCAACCATGTAGTAACAGGAAATATTAATATTTTTGAAAGAGAGCCTATTTATGAGATACTAAGCAAAGGAACAAAATTCCGTCACTCCCCTAACCTTGTCCAAAACAGATTTACAATTTATAGATTAATTTACTCAAGACAATCACACATTCCTTATCTGATACTATATCCACCAAAATATTAGAAACACTAACCCAGTCCTTTGCCAGAATCAAACATAGATTGTTATACCCTAAAAATAAACTTAGCCCCTCCTCTCCTTAATATCAGACAACTACAAGAATTCTTTATCTTTTGCCCATTAGATAAAGCCAGTTCTAATTATGGTATTATTTGTAAAAAGCTATATCTTTCCATTTTAACTAAAGAAATAAATCTTCAAAGTGACTTACAAGATACACTATATACGATTATTTGGGTAAATTAATGTTCAAGATATCATTACAGAAGACATACAGAAGACATAACAGCCTGGCCATTGGTCTTCACCTAAAACCAAATGTTGACGGAATTATTCCTCATATATTGCATCCCTAAACTTCATAAAAATCCAATAAAATTCAGATTTATATTTGGGCAAGTAACAGCAGTATTAGGCCTTTATCAGAAGAACTTATGCGCATTTTATGTTTTATCAAAACACATTTCAAAGACTATATAAATATAGTATACACTAACAAAAATTGCTTACCAACGTACTGGTCCATCAATAACATTAATATCTCATACATTCTTAGTAACATAGTAGACACTAATCTACAACTCTATTCCGCAGACTTCACAAACATATTTATTAATATTCCACATGATGTTATCTTGAAAAACATAAACGCAGTTCTCAGAATGTTTTAAGAATAGTAATAGTAGGTACATTGTTAGCAAAACCAAAAGTTTACATTACTCTAGTACGCCTCTGAATGGAACGAATTTTAGAAATTATGAAATAGAAGATATAATGTATCTCACTCAATTCCTCTTAGAAAGCAGCTATTGTAAAGTTGGACTGCACATTTTCAAACAAAGCGGGTGTCCCACAAGGTAGCAGTGTTAGTCCAATATTAGCTGTTTTGAGTTTGTCATATATGGAATATTCTTGTGCTTCTAACCAGAAAAAAACTCATAGACTTTTCATACCTTTTAGGTACATGGATGATTTACTGATCATACACAACATGGATCAATCATAAGTACAAACAATATTACAAAATACTTATAAAAATATATTCGAACTGAAAAGCACCAACCGTAGCAATTTCGAATGTGATTTTCTGGACTTAAAAGTATGTATAGGTTGAAGACAAAATTATCACCACTCAATATAACAAAACGGACTGCTTCAACTTCAAAGTTAACAAATTTACTCATTCAAGATCACATATCAGTCGAATGCCAAAATTGCAATCATTTACAGTGAGATTTTGAGAATTTATAAGACTTGTACGAAATTTGAAAACTTCGTTGAAAGACTAGAATTACTTATAGATCAACTTTTAGCATTACAGTACACTCCCAACATCATTTCTAACGCCATGATCAAATGTTTGAGTAAAAATAAATGCATATCATATAAGTATTTGCAACTACAATCGTTCAAAAGCACTAAAATCTTTGTTATTAGAATGCTCACAAAATTGCAACATATCTGATTTTTTGATATATATGCTCTACCCCTCATGTATAAATACCCCCCCCCCCTAGACCTATCCTTCTCATTACACCACTATTCCCTACTGACGAGCCTCGGGAGCAGGGCCCGGCATAGATGGTTTCGGGTCAAATTGGACTTCGTTTTTGGGGTTAGAAGCAAAGGGGATAATGTTTCGGATATCGTTTTCATAAGGTCCTGGGCGGAGCGCCGAAAAAAAGACAGGCATGTCAGGTTTTACGCTTGGTGTTCTTTCGCAAACGCGCGAATTTCAAACGCAAGACTCAAACAAACAAATGGCTTGTTTACAGCGCACAAACAATCATATGGCACCGAATTTGGGCTATGTGTACACTTTATTACTCCAAACCATATTACGTAAAAAGGTTCAAGAACTTATGTGTCCTTAATACCAGTTCCCGAATTTGTTGGTTTCTAGACCAACAACCAAACCAACTGGGTTGGTTCGGAGCATAAATATCGGCGAGTTCACATAACTTTTGGACCTTTTTGATTTGGACGATTACTACGCCCCAAAATCTATCATGTAGTGAAGAGAGCGGGTCAAACCATTGTTTCTCCTCTTTTTTGAGCCAAAAGTAGTGTAATTTTAAGCCTTGATAGATATCGCGCTCCAATTACACGCGGCGTCCTTTGAACTACGTGGCGAAAAAATGCATTGCCAGATTGTTGAGGACACGGATCTGGTTTACCTAAGGGGTTTTAGTCATTCTGAGCGCTAAAGATAAACAACGACAGAGCCTATAATAAACTCAGAATGTTTTTTTTTGCTTTTTGTCATACCAGATACCTCAAAATGCGCCTTTTTCGCTTTTTTTATTGTTATACTAGCTGGCTTACCCGGCTCCGCCGTATCCGGACCAAACTTGGCACACATACGCTTCGGGCCCCGGCGGGTGTCACAGTCCACTTTTCGTTATCGATCGATGTCGATTTTACCGATTTTTATCGATTTTTTTGCAGAGTTCACCTACAGGGCTAGGAGTTGGCACAGGGGGGGAAGTGAGCATGGGAATTCCGAATACAATATTAGTTTTCAGAATTATCGATTACTTTTATTGATTTTATCGATTTTTTGTAAATTTTGACCTGCGGGGCTGGGATTTTGCACAGGGGGGTAATCGAGCATGCTGATTACGAACACAATATTAGTTTTCAGGATCGTCCATTACTTTTATCGATTTTATCGATTTTTTTCGTAAAGTTTGACCTGCGGGGCTGGGAGTTTGCACAGGGGGTAATCGAGCATGCAGATTACGAATACAATATTAGTTTTCGAGATCGTCCATTACTTTTATCGATTTTATCGATTTTTTGAAAATTTGAGCTAGGGGGCTGGAATTTGGCACAGGGGTGTAATCGAGCATGCTGATCACCCCCCTTGGGGATGATCAGCATGCTCGATTACCCCCCTGTGCCAACTCCCAGCCCCCTAGCTCAAACTTTGCAAAAAAATCGATAAAATCGATAAAAGTAATCGATAATCCCGAAAACCAATATTGTATTCGGAATCCCCATGCTCGATTACCCCCCTGTGCCAACTACCAGCCCCGTAGCTCAAACTTTGCAAAAAAATCGATAAAATCGATAAAAGTAATCGATAATCCCGAAAACCAATATTGTATTCGGAATCCCCATGCTCGATTACCCCCTGTGCCAACTACCAGCCCCGTAGCTCAAACTTTGCAAAAAATCGATAAAATCGATAAAAGTAATCGATAATCCTGAAAACCAATATTGTATTCGGAATCCCCATGCTCGATTACCCCCCTGTGCCAACTCCCAGCCCCGTAGGTGAACTCAGCAAAAAATTGGATAAAAATCGATAAAATCGATATCGATCGATGACGAAAAGTAGCCTATGACACGCGCCGGGGCCCGAAGTGTATGTGTGCCAAGTTTGATCCGGATCGGTTCAGAAATGGAATTTTCTATTCGGAACATACGTACAGACAGACAGACATACAGACAGACAGACAGACAGACATACAAACAGACATTCAGCTTTATATATAAGATTGATTAAACAAGGGTTTTCCTGTTGATTTTTACGTCAAAAGGGACTTCGTAATCTCGTGAAGTCACGGGGGGACTTCGTTTTCAAAAACGCTCCAAACCAACGCTTGCCGGGCCCTGCTCGGGAGTGGTTAGCACTATAGTAACCTATAGAGGTAGAGGCGAAACAGGCGTAAAGAACCCATCTTATCAATACTTACTATTTCTACTGCATCTGCAATTCTTACTGCTGCCTAGAATCATTTTCACAAGGTTTTCAAAGGTAAGATGTATAATCTAATATTTCATTTATTTTTTCTATCTCCTAATGCTGATTCAAATGTCATGGCACATTATTATCAAATGCAGCTCAAAGCCGATATGTAGAAATTGTTTGAGGTTCTTGTTCGTTGTCCGAGATGCGGCTTTCTTCAAAACGTCTTGTCAGTGGATAACTGTTAGAGCAGAAAAGTAGCATAACCATGTTTTGTGAAGCTGCACTGCTTCGATTTCGCGAATTAATAACCACTAGATTCTCTCGACATCTCATTCCGTGAATTTTTGGTTATTGTTCTCATGGCATACTAATGAATACCGCTTTTTCATGCATCAATGCTCGAAGACATGCACTAACATCCCCATTGGGGAAGGGATCGCAGCTTATAAGAAAGCTTCGTATTTTGAAGCACCAGATATCTGGATTTCACGCTGTCTACCTATCCGTTAGTACTACCACCATCCTTCACTATGAACATCTTGAACGGGAGCAAGAAGCTGCATAGGCCGCATATTCCAGCTTTTTGTGTGATCCCCTTATGATCTCCGGTGACCGGCAGTTTTTTAGAGTCATTTTTCTTTCTTCAGAGTTAATGAGAGTGGCAAAGTTTCGCTGTTTATCTAACCAAACAGTGCTAAGCATGTTTCTGATAAGAAAAAATGATGTGTTGGAATCATGAAATTTGCGACGAACCACAAATCGAAAGTTGGGATTCATCGAAAAAATCGATATTTTGTAAACTCATTTGTTCTCATCAGCACATGCTTAGCATTATAGGGTTAGATAATCAGTACAACTTTGGAATGTCTCTATTAACTTTGAAGAAAGAAAAATGAATTCAAAGAAAAGACGGTTGCCCTCCGGGGATCATCAAAGGATTATACAAAAAATGGAAAATGCAGCTTGTACATCGATTCTGTTTAATATGCATAGTGAAGAGGAGTACTTGCTGATAGGTAGACAGAGTGAAATCTAGAATATCTGGAGCTTCAGGATATGAAGCTTCCTTCTAATAAAGAAATGGTCGGAAGTCGAAGTGGCCAATTCAAGCAAGCTACAAGTAATTAATTGCAGCATAAAACACTGACTATATATCTATCTTCCTTATCTGTAAAACAGTTTTGTGAGTAAAATTATAAGCCGTTAAAGGCGATTATTTTGCTAAGAAATCATGCGTCTAAAGGGCAAACTTGGCCGTACAGAGCCATTTTCAGCTCAGTGCTGGACCAAAACATGCATCTAGGTCAACTCATATGGCCCATGAGAGATGAGCTAAAAGGGCTAGAATATGACTAATTTTGCAGTTTTTGTATACGATTTTCTCGAGTAAAGCAGCTCATAACTTCGCCTACAAAGGTGTTCTGCAGATATGGAAGATAGATTTGAAATCAGCGTTCTATGCTGCATAATGATATGCAGCTTGTTTGGATTGGCCACTTTGATTTCTGACCATCTCTTGTAAGCTGTGACATGAAAATTTTCGTTTTCTCAGTTTCCAATCGGGGAAAAATACAGCAACTGCCAACTGCACATATGGGTGTCTGATATCGAAGGCATTGACGTGTGCGAGTGGGAGGTCCGTAGAAATTATTTGAACGGAGATCTGATTTTTTTTTCGATTTTTTGGGCATTTGGAAATCTTTAGATTTTGAGTTCCAAATTCCCGTGGGTCGAACTTGGCGCAATATTATAAACGCCATCTTGTAGAGCTTGCTCTGCTCTATCGAACGGTACCCCTTACCTTTTGTTGGGTTGATTCTGTCTGCTTTATTAAAGCAAGCAAATAAAAAACGACATTATTTTCTTGACAACCTAATACTTTTAAACAGTAGGTGTAAAGGGGTTCATCATGATATACAAAACTGAACAGATTCACTGGGAGAAATCTCATCAGTTTCTTTAGTCTTATCGTAACTCATCAAGGTCTGGGCTATGTTTCCAACCCAATGTGATCAAAACGAAACCGTGAGCTCAAAGAAGATAGCACAAGAAATCATTTTATCCTTCAGACTCATTGCTGTTCCCGATGTTAAAGAAAATGGTAGTTGGAACTTTGCCAGTGTCCCTTTCGCTTGCTTTCTGAGCGACGGAGACTGCATTTTGTTTACAAGACGTGGTCAGCCCCGTCCTCAACCATGTATTTACAAGCTCATGATGTTCCTGTGTGAAGCCTTTCCAGTGAGATCACAACTTTTGATTTGCGAACGGACAGATCTCTTTTGAGCACCTTCACTCGGCTTACAGTCTTCACCTTTACGCACGCAGTGAAGTGCCACTAAGCCCGCCAACTAACATAGAGCTAGCCACTTATTGAGAGATAGAAATGAAAGAGTCAATTTTCAAGACGGAAATGCCATAATTCTATTTCGAATTCCTTTTGAATTCCCAACTTTTGCATCTTAGCCAGAGCAAAACGGCGTAAGAAAAAACCATGCGTGCGCCACTGTCTGCCGTTCACTCCACACACCGGCTTAAAACATCACTTTAATTTGCAGCCTAATATATTGTCATAACCAAGACTGCCAAACACATTTAGTTGAGGAGCTTTTATTCACGGCAAGGCGCCATGCAAGGGTAACGAAAAAGTGCAATGTATACATTAAGAATTCAGTGGGGATGTCTTCCCAAACCTTGAAGCAATAAACAATAGAGACTTGCTATTTTGCTTCTTTTTCCTATCAATTTAGGTGAGAGGAATATTAAGCAAGTACATAATCATTTCGTAAGAGTACTCCCAAAAACATTGTACTAACTGTTTACATCAGGGTGAGTCGTGGGTGCCACGCGCGAAGTACACACCACATACAGTGTTACAAAGACTTATAATAATAAAATATAACTTGCCAATGATTAGAACATTGGAACAATCGCTTACTCAACATTGGCTTTCACAAACTTAGCAAGTGTGTAGAGCAATTATTGGATAAACACAATTCGGGAGTGTTACAAATATTTTTTCAAGAATATGGATTTTCCCTTGTTCAGCTGCTGCAAGTTAATTACTGCCTTGAGCAACATAGTGAATGGAACCATTTATACATGACTGTCATCAACTCAGAAACGATAACATGAAAAAAAACACAAGAAGCTCAGTCACTCAGGCACATTGAGATTCATCGAAGCCTCATGAACATTTCTAAATTTGAGTGTTTAATTAGCCACATGACACTGACGTCGCTGGAGGAGGGACATGCAGATATCAGAAAAAGTCTTTTTCCGGAAATTTCGTCTTTTTTCAACATTTTCCTCAAATTCATGGTCAACGCCAGGCTAATGAGGTTTAGGCTAATCTAGTTCATTTCATCAACATAATCCTGGCCAGAATACTCTGTGACATTGTTAGCAGCAAACATAAAAAAAATCTCGAATCATAACATACCAGCAATTCAGTTATTAGGTAAGAGAGAATAAGAGCAAACCGGGTTATGTATATCACATCGTCACTTAATCTGGCTAGAACGCCAGTCCTGAGTCGGCTATGCTACTTAAGAAATCTTTTTGCAGTGTCTCGGATAGTACTTTTATTGGATTATTCTTGAGCTCCTCTTCATTCACAGTCGACTTGCTCACATGCCAGATCTTCCACGCAAGTCGCACACCCTAAATTGGTCGCAGTCAACATTAGAAGTGATGAACGGGTTGTCATATTTTTTGAAAATTACAACAGTAGTCAAACATGAGAAATGAGTCACAATTACTTCCCTAGCAAACACCTGTTAAACTTGCACTACAGCATGAAAAAGAGAGTAAGGGTTTTTACAGATAGTGTTTTGCTTGGAAAATGCATGGCAGATGTTAGAAATTAATTACTCCAGCTTTCTGTCCAACATACATGATGAACTTAACGTTCTTTACTGAGGCAAACTAAAAATTTATTCACTTCATTCTCCTGTTTCATGACAAGCGTTTTGAACTTCAATCAGCAATGTTTGAGTAAGTGACAAGCTACATTACTGCATAAAATTTTCATCATATGAAAAACAGAAAATTATTAGGTTGTCCCGAAAGTTTTGTCGGTTTTTTTTATCGCTCACCAAACCTCACAGAACACCATTCCATAAACGGTTTAGGTGTCATTCTATTCACATTTTTATCCTCTTTCTTATAGCTGTATTTGTTCCCTGATCTACCCCGTCTTTGCGATGTTATCGCCATGGCTTTTTGAGCACCTCAGCAGTAACGCCAAAACTTTCCTGAATTTTCAAAATTTTTATCTTGATATTTTCGACGAGCGCTGGTGACTGTTATGTAAAGCAAACCTTTGGCTACATTGTGGCAATTTTAGATTACGTGGGCCACGTTTATCAAGTCCGTAATAATTATTTATTTGAGAAAAACCGCGGCTTTTTGAACACGTTTTACCACGTAAAATTACCGAAAATTCCAAAAAGCTAATTTTTGAAGCAAATCAAACTTGGTTATGTTGCATAAATGGTGTTTAATAACAATCAAGTTTGAATTCGCAAAAATTTCAAAAGCGTTCATGTTTTAGCTGCAATTGCGCGTTTCATGACTTAGCCAAAAATGGAGACCTCAGAAGAAATAATTTTTTGACGCCAAAATCAGCAAATTAGGAGAATCTAAAAATACCTTCTTGTAGCCCGAGAGTTTCTCTATTTGACCCATACTTGATCTTTTTCGAAACTTTGTAACGAAATTTTTGAAAATTAGATCAACTTTGAGCAGGTAAAATTGACAGGTGGAGAATTTCGGCAATTACCAAAGAAAGTGTATAACATTATGGTATGAAAGTGCATCTTTAAGAAAGAGAAGAAAAAGCTGCATCAAATGCATGTTGAAACTCACTCAGGTCTTTATTGTGCGTGGTTTTACAGTGGTCTGAAATAACCGACAAAACTTTCGGGACAACCTAATATTTTGAAAAATATCATAGCCAGACTGAAGCTGAACCATTTTTGCAACAACATTAGCATCATAATCTTTCTGTAAACTCTAACTATTTTTAATAACACCTTAACATCATGTCAGAGCACTTTTTCAAAAATAAGTCTGCCATTAATTCGAGTTGTAAAGATTTAATCTAATTTTGTAATTTTTTTACATAAGTAGCGGATCTATCAAGAGAAAAAAATCTTTAGAATAGATGAGTGAGTTTTTTAGAGGTTCGGACTTCTGTAGCGGCAAACATCAAATATTTATGGCATCAATTTGTGAGACATAGCGATTCTTCAAAGTTGCACGCTCGCTATATTTTTTGTACTTTCAGCTCTGAAGCATTAGTCATTAGCTCCAGGTGGATTTGCTGTGCGAGAGAGGAATGTATTGCGAAAGTCGTAATAAAGTATCTTATTACCGAGCGCATGAGTGATGACTCACCTTGGCGAGCATGACAAGGGAGATGATCATCACCAGTCGAGCTGTGGTCTCAATTATTTTTGAAGGTGGCTTACCAAATCTTCTTACAGATAGTCCCAGGCATACAGGAGCATCTGAATTCAAGGAGATGGGTTAATATAGTGGCAACCGCGGTTTATTAGGACAATGAATTCATGCTTAATTTTCGGCCTCTTATCAAGAAAAATCAAGAACTTTTATTCTGATGCCAAAAAATCGGAATTTCTTATCATATCTTATGGTATGTGAGTTCTACCTTCATTTTCGCGTCTTCGGGCAAAAAGATATCGAAGAAGACTAGGAAAGAGCAATACGACAAGCGAAACGGAACATAAACACCAAAAAAGCACTTACATACGGAGTTCGTGAGATTCCACGGTGTCAGCGAGTGGTGATGCACTGAAATTATTATATTATAGTAAATGACTTCTTCTGGATGAAGTTGAATTTATTCTCTCTGTTCAAAACCATAAAATTCAAGGATCAATAGGAGAGCGAATCACTCAAAAGCTGCAGTTGCTCTGCACTATATTAGTGACTTACTTTTCAAGAGTGATCTTCTTGAAGAATTCTAATTTGATTGTTAAAATTTCGCTCCAGTGTTATTATTTTCGCACAACAAATGCTCTATAAAAGAGAGGACTTCATGAAGAAAGCCGATACTCACAATCAGCAAAAAAAATTTTGATTGCATTCAAGATGTATAGTTGCAATGTTGACAGTTCTCTACCTTTTAATCAAATAAAATGACGAATGTGAACAATTTCTTTTGAAATATGATCTATGGAGGAACGAATATGTTTATTGAAGTTGCTGATGCTCTGATTGAAACTGTGTTGAAAATTTTCAATTTTCTGGCGATGGCTCTTTCCCATCACGGGTTTTTTAGAAGATATGTACCGGAGATACCCTAAAATCTTACAGATACGTCCGCTCTTTGACAAAAAAAATCTATGAAAATGCACTCTCGCAGAGCCAAGAATCTTGCAGATAAGTCCTTCCATCAGATAAGGGCGCCTATAGTTAAGTCCGGACTTACCTGACAAGATTTCAGAGTAGTTATAATGGAAAACGGACTTATCTTTAGCGCGGACTTATCTGAAGGGCCTACCTGCGTCAAAAAGCGAACTTATTTGAAGGGATTATCTGTAGACGGATTTATCTGAGGGAGAACTTATCTGTGATATTTTAGGGTATATAGTAAGAGGCCAAAATGTCGGATTTGGTTTATATTTTCTGCTGGTTATTGAGCATCCTAATCAGGATCAAAATTATGTTTATACAAAGCAGGCTTTCTTGTGGACTACTGCGAAGATTACTATACATAATCCAGCGAAGACGATAAAATTAATGCGAGTTTCGTGCACATCATGTGGAAAGGCACATAGCAATTAAATCTCAAATTCTGGAGCTAGCCAAATAAGAGTAATTGTGAAAATCAGACGCTACGCAATTTCTTCTGGCTTACAGAAATTGTCTGTGGATTTGAGAAAGTTTTAAAATGAGCGAATATACTCCAGGATGGTAGTTCAAACATTTTGAAGATGCCCGACAATTCAAACATTTTGAAGATGTCTGACAAATCTTAAATGACTAACCCGAAGTGTAAATCTCCTCTCGAATAACATGCTTGTTTTCAACGATTTCCAAGTATTCAGCCCAACAAGTGAGAAAATAAACAATCACTGCGGCTACTATACCAATTAAGAGGAACAGGACCACGTATTTCCACAGTTCTGCAAAAACTATAAAATCACTAGGTGACTTTTCAATTGCTGATAATTCAGCTGTCAGCTTGAGTACCAGACTTACGAACAGATGCCAACATCGCTTGGCGAAGAAAAAAACTTCAAAACCAAGAATTAAATAAAATTACTACGGTGCACGGTTTTTCGTTGCTCTACGAGCTCTCCAACGAGTTGTTGAAAGGCCAGTTTTTGATTGTCGGGGATTTTTTGTTGAATTAGATTGGCCCATAGATCCTCGCCTGACGGTGGTGGATTCAGCTGAGAAGCAAAAATAAAATATTAGAACTTGAGAGAAAGATGTGAATAGCTTACGGGCTCAAAAAATTCTTTCCTCAACCTAGCTTTGTCCATAATATTTGTTGCCGAGCCCTCTTTCAGGAGCCATCAGCAAGTTGAATAAATGCATACCATTTTGTGAAATTGAGCAAATCAACCTAAAAAAACGAAGATCTTAAAAAAGAATTTTTTAAGAGCTGAGCCTTGAGAATGACTACACAGACTTGCCTTGTTTCAATAAAATTAAATAAAGTCGTTACCCTCGAGACGACGGATAGCTGTTTGTGAGTTCTTCGTCGTCGAAGGCCTGGAGCCTATCGATTTGGCTGCGAAGCTGGCCGTCGGATTTCCTCATTCGAATTGCCTCAAATGCTCACCCTCACACTTCATTCGTAACGTCAACGAATATGGCTGGAAGATGTATTTTCGCATGTTCTTGGGAAAAACGCGAGAAGATGTGAAGCTGCTGCACATATGAATACAAAGCTACTTGTTCTTTGTTGGGACGTAGATAAAAAAAGAGCTACCCGCAGCAACTGCATGCTCATCAGTCATCAGCTAATAATTGCTCATTAAATCTATCAGTTCCCCTGCAATATCCGACCTCTTTTTACAGTTTTTGTTATATTGAGCTATATCACTCTATTAGGGTTGGCAAATGGATAGTCTGGGTCGCTTTTGCTGCTCTACGAATGATGCAGACAAATTTTTGTCCAATGGGTATTTCTGGAGATAGCACTTCAGAGAGAACTGAAATGTAAATATTGTTTGAATAAAACTCATTTCCCTTTTAAAAAAGACGTAAAGAAGTGAAAGAATAATTCTAAGAAGAAGAATAATTCAGAATAAGAGCAATATTTCTCTTATTGCGCGCAAATCTGAGAAAATTTCGCGTTTTTTTATCAAGGAGTTTCGAAATTGTAGACACATTTTTTATTCGCTAAATAGAGAAAACTTGGTTGCGATCAAAAACCAAATTACTTATCTTCATAATCATCACTGCAAAAAAGCGAAGCTTAGAAAGACAAAGAACTGAAATTGTGGAAATTTGACCATATTGGGGCATAATCTTTTTTACTAATGCTAGACAGTTGGAGTTTGATCTACTCAACTCACAAAATCACATGAAAAACAACGAGAAATGTTTTTATGGAGAAATCCATGTAAAAATGAACTTATTCTTTCCTATTATTCTGCTCAACTGAGACAAAACCCTCTACATGTGTGTCGTTTGAGACCATGAGCAGGACAATACCTATGAATGTGCTACCCATGTTGGACATGAAGGTACCATAAACACTTCCGATCAATTATCAGGGAATTGCGGTAAAGATGTAAAAGATGGGTATAAATTATTGATACGTTCGTAAATGAAGAGCTTACTTTATTGCGTAGGTTCCAGTAAAACTCATCATTTCTAACGATATCATTCAACCAAATCGGTAATTCAATTTCCTTTCATGAGATATTCTGAGAAAACCTAATTATGACAGAGTTTTCTAAGAAATCATTCTTCAATGTCTCAGAAAAGCCGTAATCTCTCTATTCATGATATGCCCGAAAAACAGAATTACCGGTGAAAATCATTGACTTTACTTCTCCCAAATTTCCCTATTGTTTATTCATCGTTCCTACGACTACACATAAAAACTCATAGCACTGAGTTGGGAGGGGGGGGGGGGGGGGGAAGAGGTGTTCAGTCCACATCAGTTCGTTAGCGGCTGCAGAGTCCAACGAATTCTTCAGTGTTTCTTCAAACTGCAGTTTTCTTTTTCTGTGTCTTCCGGTACGAGATGGTAAATGAGCGTACCCTTGAGATCACGATCACGATCCGTAGCAGAATATTAAGGGAATGAAGTCCTTCGTCAGTGGATTGGGGACAGAAGACGGATGACATGCCCTTTGACAACGATGGAATATGTCAAACCGAGGAAGGGTTATTCGACCGAGCATCAATGACTCGACCGCTTGTAGCGTAGGCAAGATCGAGTTGAATAAAGCATGATTTAGCTTTGACAAGAAACTTTCAAGCACCTTCAGTGTTATAGTAAGTTTACATGGCCTCTGCTACTTCTGCTAAATTTTTGTCTCTTTCCCGATCAGAATGCATTCGCAAAGTTACGATTTTACGACTATGGTGGGATGGCGTTTCTCTGAGTTGGCAATTATCTGGTACAAGACATGTTTTTGTAATTATTCTCGTCTTGTTTTTGATATCATTCTCGTCTAATGGCTGTAATTTGATCTTTCGCTTGTGCAGTAGGGGCATGAGTGCTCAAGGAAGGCCTTGACAAAACATAACGGCGGAAATGCGCTCAGTAAACGATTGACGAAAAGTTGCTGACTGTAGTTCGTCCATGAAAAAGGGCGAATCACAGTTACGCGGACTGTACACTAGGGTTACGGTACCCTGAACGCGTCCGAAAAATGAGAAATCAAGCACATGAGCTATGACATGAAAGAAAGGAAATACGGAGTTACATGTGAAATCGATTCTCGCTACTTTGTGGAAATGCAACTCGCGGTTTCGTAATATCGAGGTGTGCCCCCCCCCCCCGCAAATATTCCAAGCTAGAAATTTGTGGATATCTTTTCGTTCTTAATTTGAATCTTTTAAGGTTTATGCAAGCAAGTAAATCCGAAAAGGTGCGTGCAATTATAAGTCACTCTATTGCTTTGAGATTATCACAGACTAGCTGGCTTACCCGGCTCCGCCGTATCCGGACCAAACTTGGCACACATACACTTCGGGCCCCGGCGGGTGTCAAGTCCACTTTTCGTTATCGATCGATGTCGATTTTACGATTTTTATCGATTTTTTTGCAGAGTTCACCTACAGGGCTAGGAGTTGGCACAGGGGGGGAAGTGAGCATGGGGATTCCGAATACAATATTAGTTTTCAGAATCATCGATTACTTTTATTAATTTTATCGATTTTTTTGTAAATTTTGAATTGCGAGGCTGGGATTTTGCACAGGGGGGTAATCGAGCATGCTGATTACGAACACAATATTAGTTTTCAGGATCGTCCATTACTTTTATCGATTTTATCGATTTTTTTGTAAAGTTTGACCTGCGGGGCTGGGAGTTTGCACAGGGGGTAATCGAGCATGCAGATTACGAATACAATATTAGTTTTCAAGATCGTCCATTACTTTTATCGATTTTATCGATTTTTTGAAAATTTGAGCTAGGGGGCTGGAATTTGGCACAGGGGTGTAATCGAGCATGCTGATCACCCCCCTTGGGAATGATCAGCATGCTCGATTACCCCCCTGTGCCAACTCCCAGCCCCCTAGCTCAAACTTTGCAAAGAAATCGATAAAATCGATAAAAGTAATCGATAATCCCGAAAACCAATATTGTATTCGGAATCCCCATGCTCGATTACCCCCCTGTGCCAACTCCCAGCCCCGTAGCTCAAACTTTGCAAAAAAAATCGATAAAATCGATAAAAGTAATCGGTAATCCTGAAAACCAATATTGTATTCGGAATCCCCATGCTCGATTACCCCCCTGTGCCAACTCCCAGCCCCGTAGGTGAACTCAGCAAAAAAATCGATAAAAATCGATAAAATCGATATCGATCGATGACGAAAAGTAGCCTATGACACCCGCCGGGGCCCGAAGTGTATGTGTGCCAAGTTTGGTCCGGATCGGTTCAGAAATGGAATTTTCTATTCGGAACATACGTACAGACAGACATACAGACAGACAGACAGACATACATACAAACAGACATTCAGCTTTATATATAAGACTAGCGACCCTACGGGTCGCTAGTAAGTGGGTGGGGGCAGATACATTGATATCTGCCATTAACTAACCAAAAATCCCAAGAAAGAGAATTTCCCAGCGACCTTTCGGTGTTGTGAGTAGTAGAAACAAAACACTATGCTCTTACGAAAAGAAGCTACTACCAGTGACTATTCGCAAAGCATTTCTGCTGTTCCTCTTGCAGATACCTTCGCCCAGATACCACAGCTTTTAAACAAGGAAGCCACCTCCAAGCATCTGTTTAGGACAGCTGATTCATCCCAAAACTCAGATTGATTTCCAGGAAAAGTGCCATGTTGAAGGAAGCGTCAAGTTATGTCTTCTAGCAGCCAAAAACTCAGATATGTAGATAAAAACGAAGCAGTATTTTCTTCGATGATGTCTTGCCAGTGAACGGACTCATTTCTTAGAACAGACTGGCCCAATGCCTTCTTTCGAAGGACAATCTTACCGAAACTGTCCTGTCGCATAAAACCCTAGGTCTTTCCTTCCCTCGAAACCAAGCTCCTTATGCTACCGCTTTTAGGGGCAGAGGTATGGTTAAGAAGAAGCTGCCGTAATTTTTTCAGCAAGTTTTTATATAATTAAATATTGACACCTAAAAGTTTTTAGCGCAAATATCTTGCTGCCTGAGCCCTGAGAGCCTTTTTTTTTCTCGAGACCAAGCTCCCTGTTTTTTTTTTGCTTCTAGGGAAAAAGTGTGGTTTTAGCGAAGTTCAAAAGGCCAAAAGTTTCAGAGAAGATAATTTCTTGTCGCAAGAAGCTCATGGGTCTGTCTTTCTTCAGAGGCAAAAGTCCGGTTTTTACAGCGTAGAATGGCCATATGTGAATTTCAAACAATTTTCTGTAGAATAAACATTGACACCCAGAAATTTTCAGCGAAAGTATCTTGCTGGCTGAGCTTATGAGTCTTTTCCCCTCGAGACCAAGCTATCTGTGCTGATTTGCTTTTAGGGGTAGAAGTATGGGTTTTGCAGTGTAGAATGACCACGAATTTCAAAATTTCAAACAAGTTTCTGTATAATAAAACATCGATACCCAGAAACTTCTGGCGAGAATATCTTGCTGCCTGAGGCCATAATTCTTTCATCCCACGAGACCAAGCTCCTTGTGCTTTTTTGCTTTTAGGGCCAGAAGTGTGGTTTTTGAGTTTTGTGGTTTTTGCGAAGTCTAGGGTCAAACATCTTAGCGAAAATGTCCTGTCGGATGAAACTCATGGGCTGTCCTTCCTTAGAGAATAAATTTTCTGTGCTTTTCTGCTTTTAGGGGCAGAATGCTGGTTTTTGCGAAATCTAGGGTCAAACATCTTAGCGAAAATGTCCTGTCGGATGAAACTCATGGGCTGTCCTTCCTTAGAGAATAAATTTTCTGTGCTTTTCTGCTTTTAGGGGCAGAATGCTGGTTTTTGCGAAATCTAGGGTCAAACATCTTAGCGAAAATGTCCTGTCGGATGAAACACATGGGCTGTCCTTCCCTAAAGAATAAATTTTCTGTGCTGTTTCGCTTTTAGAGGCAGAAGTATGGTTTTTGCAAAGTAGAAGGGCCAGAAGTAAATTTCAAGCAAGTTTTTGTATAATCATTGACACCCAGAAACTTCTGGCGAAGATATCTTGCTGCCTGAAGGCATGATTCTTTCTACCCTCGAGACCAAGCACCCTGTGCTTTTCTGCTTTCAGGGCAGAGGTACTGGTTTTTACAAAGTAGAGGGGGCCGAAAGCTCCACGCACTCCGAAAAAATTTTTGGGGTGCTTCTCTAAATTTTTGCGGGTCCCCAACCCCTAAAATCTGAAAAAAGGGGGCGTGGCTGATGCCACGCCCCCGAAAAAACTTTTTTTATAAAGCTAATTTGAATTTTTAAAAAAATTCAAAAATTATTTCAATTATTTACATAAATAAATAAGTCGTTTGCACATTTTTATAACCCATATAGGTAAGTTTCAAAAACTTCGCGACCCATTCTCAAGGGGGGCGCGCCCCCCCCCCCGCCCCCCTCGGTCCGCCACTGCTTGCCGCCTCAGTTTATAAGCATTTTCTTCCCTCGAAGCCAGGCTCTATGTGCTTTTCTGATTTTGGGGGCAGAAGTAGGATTCAAAAAGGTAAAGGCGGGCCAAAGTGAATTTATAACAACTTTAGGTATATTTACCGCCTTCGTCATTTCCGAGTGTGATTATAGAATTCTCAGCATGCTCACTTACCCCCGGATTAGTGCCGTCTGAGCCTCGTAGCTTTAGCTTTGAAAAAAAAGATGAAATCAATAAAAGTAATGGAAATTCTCAAAAACTATCTTTGCAGTGAGCGTGCTCACATACAACTATGTGCAATGTCAGCCGTGTAGCTCTAATTTTACAAAGAATAGAAAAATCGACAAAAATAATAGGTTCTCTAAGAACACTTATTACAATCGTAATCGGCATGCTCGCTTTCTCCCATGTGCCAAATCCCAGTTCCTGGCTTAAACTTTGCAAAAAATCGATAAAGCCAGTGAAGGTAAGTGACAAGTTGTAAAATAAGAATATGCTCGTGAGCAGCATGCTCAATTACCTGCCTGTACCAATCCCCAACGCCATAGTTCAAACATTGCAAAAAATCAATCAAACCAATAGAAGTAAGGGGTATTTTCTGAAATGTTATGATATTCGTAATCAGCATGTTCCCTTACCCCCGTGTGCCAACTCCCAGTCACGTAGTTCAAAATCTGCAGAAAAATCGATAGAATGATAAAAGTAATGGGTATTTATGAAAATGGTTATCATATTCGTAATCAGCATGCTCGATTACCCCCGTGTGCCAATTCCCAGCCCCATAGCTTGAACTTTGCCAAAAAATCGATAAAATGATAAAAATAACTGATAATTCTAGAAACCAGTATTGTATTCGTAATCAGCATGCTCGATTACCCCCGTGTGCCAACTCCCAGCCCCGTAGCTTGAACTTTGCCAAAAAATCGATAAAATGATAAAAATAACTGGTAATTCTAAAAACTAATACTGTATTCGTAATCAACATGTTCGCTTACTCTCCCGTGCCAACTCCCAACCCCGCAGTCCAAAATTTGCAAAAATCGATAAAATGATAAAAGTAGTGGGCATTTTTGAAAATGGTTATCATATTCGTAATCAGCATGCTCGACTAACCCCGTGTGCCAACTCCCAGCCCCGTAGCTTGAACTTTGCCAAAAAATCGATAAAATGATAAAAATAACAGATAATTCTAAAAACTAATACTGTATTCGTAATCAGCATGCTCGATTACCCCCGTGTGCCAACTCCTAGCCCCGTAGCTTGGACTTTGCCAAAAAATCGATAAAATGATAAAAATAACAGATAATTCTAAAAACTAATACTGTATTCGTAATCAGCATGCTCGATTACCCCCGTGTGCCAACTCCTAGCCCCGTAGCTTGAACTTTGCCAAAAAATCGATAAAATGATAAAAATAACAGATAATTCTAAAAACTAATACTGTATTCGTAATCAGCATGCTCGATTACCCCCGTGTGCCAACTCCTAGCCCCGTAGCTTGGACTTTGCCAAAAAATCGATAAAATGATAAAAATAACTGATAATTCTAAAAACTAATACTGTATTCGTAATCAGCATGCTCGATTACCCCCGTGTGCCAACTTCCAGCCCCGTAGCTTGAACTTTGCCAAAAAATCGATAAAATGATAAAAGCAATGGACATTTTTGAAAATGGTTATCATATTCGTAATCAGCATGATCGATTACCCCCGTGTGCCAACTCCCAGCCCCGTAGCTTGAACTTTGCCAAAAAATCGATAAAATGATAAAAATAACAGATAATTCTAAAAACCAGTATTTTATTCGTAGTCAGCATGTTCGCTTACCCTCCCGTGCCAACTCCCAACCCCGTAGTCCAAAATTTGCAAACAAATCGATAAAATGATAAAAAATGGGCATTTTTGAAAATAGTTATCATATTCGTAATCAGCATGCTCGATTACCCCCGTGTGCCAACTCCCAGCCCCGTAGCTTGAACTTTGCCAGAAAATCGATAAAATGATAAAAGTAATGGGCATTTTTGATAATGGTTATAATCGTAATCAGCATGTTCGATTACCCCCCTGTGCCAACTCCCAGCCCCGTAGTTCAAAATTTGCAAATAATCGATAGATTTGGTAGAAGTAATAACAAGCTTCCATGCTGGAAAATGACAAACACGAAAACACCATCGAGGACCTACAGACAGCATCAACAAGCATGCTTATCCACCAGCGTACAGACAAGCCACCAGTGTACAGACAAAATCCCATTCGGTTTTATATATATGGAAGGATCAGATGCCCAGGTGTACAACTGGAGACCTCTGACAAAGACTGATTTGAGTGCGCCTAAGAAAACCCGGTTTTTCGGCATATCATCATGAGTACAAGTGCAAGAATGCTGAAGACCCATGAAATAGTAACTGGAACCTCTATTTTAGGATCTCCATACTGTCTCCTTTGACATCCACCTTTATACGGATACTTGAATGGAAAAAGCTTGTAGTTTGATTGATTTTGCGAGGGATCAGCTTTCTGCCTAAGTTCACGAGTTATTTCCTTTTTACCTCATAGTGCTAAAAACTCAAATTTGAGCACTGCCGTGATAGTGGGCTGACAACCGGATTTCAAATTTGATGTCTATTAAACAATTTTGATGTTTCCAAACTCCCTCTGAACTTTTTGAAAGCGAACTTTTAGCGATTCTGCACCGCACAGAAATCAAATGAAGCTGTTCACGTTGTTTTCAGAGCCACCGTTCATGTCATACAAGCAATGAACAATTGTTTATGCATATAACGCATTGCTAGTGAGCTATGCCTATCTGTAGAAACAAGGACGATTCACTTTGCCTAGTTGATTGTTAGCACAAGGTCCGTAAGGATGGTTGTGGTGTTACCATAGTGTCATCTAATTGTAAGATGTTCAGAGATGAATATCGAAGACCTTGCCAAAGATGAAGCCGCGAAAGCAAAACCCCTGAAAAAGAAAGGCTACGACGACGTCGAAATCAGTGATTTATCAATGTCATCCGAAAAGTGAGCCTTGTTTGCTCTTTTAGTCGTTTGACATGAGAATAGACAAAGAATCCATTACTTGAAATTTTTCAGGTCAAAGAAGAAAGACGAGAAGGTGATATTTTTTAAGCCTCTTTCCTGCAATCAAGTAACGCTTATATATTCCAGAAGTCAAAAGAAAAAGGTGGAAGTAAGGAGAAAAAAGAGGGCAGAAAAAAGGATGAGAGGGAAGGCGAGAAGAGAGATGAGGACAAAGAGAAAAAGGAAAGACCCAGGAGCAAGGAGAAGGAAAAAGAGCAAAAGTCTGGATCCCCAAGGAAAGAGTCAAAGGAAAGGAAATCAACAGAAAAAGACTCAGACCTGAAAAGTGGTGAGAAAACCAAAGATAAAGAGAAGTCTGGGGAGAAGACACCAGAGAAATCCGGAGAGGCGTTGGATAAATCCGCGGAGCCGGTGCCGAAGAAGGGTGATATACCGCCAGAGCAAAAACGGGTATTGTTGATTGTTGATTGTTGATTTTGATACGATAACATCAAAATGTGTCTTCTACTATAACCCAAACCCAATTCCCCGAAAAGGGAGGAAAAATCATCACAGAGGGTTTGGGATGTAGTCATTTTTGACCGTGATTGCTCGTTCATAAAAAACTCAAAATCCAAAGTTAGAAAGGTTACCGTCTTGGAATGAGTTATTCTTTCCGCAACTTGTCAAAAGGGCCGGGCATACTTCGCGCGATTTGGCAATATTCCAACTGTCCATAACTCACTATAAGCACATTTTGAATGTGAAGAAGATAGGCCATTTTATCAACCCACGTAAGTTATACTCACTATGCATGAGCAGTCTGCTAGTGTTGGATCCGAAGACTTCTGGCGCATTGCTAAATCGCTCGCGACTGAAATCGCGTGAAGTATGCCCGGCCCTAAAGGTGGTGTCAAGAGACTCCAAATTCATTTAGGAACTGACTCCAAGCAATTCAAGCCGCGCTTTACAGACAGAGTTTTTTGTATCACAAACTTTTAAATCTTTATGGCTTTGCAAGCAGCTCCCTGCCGACTCCAACAATGATTGAACCGTTTGATTGTAATAATGCTGATTTCCCTTACCTGGAAGGTTTTCACAACTTTTCTTGAAAGTGCTGGAGGACACGGAACATTTATTCGTTTTATGTTCGTAAACCAAAAGATTCTTCGTATTTTTGGAAGAAAAACTTGAAAACTTTGCGAAAATTTCTGGAAAAAGCTGGTAAAGACCTAGCGATCTAAAGTAATATTCTAGTGAAAAGAAGGAAATCATTTTCTTAAGATTAAGGCACTGTTTCGTCTATCTCAAGACAGAGAGATTGCGACAGTCTAGATAGAAAAAATCTTTTTCTGCCTCTTTTTTGTAATAATGGCCATTATGGCACAGGTGGCATGCCATGGATTCAAAACGGCAACAAATCCCGTGAGGCCGGTAGACGTAAAACCAAGAGTTAGTCTCATCTGCCCTTCCTAAACTTCCAAAAACATCTCTAACAATTTGTCCTGCGCAATAATATGTTTCTCCGATACAAGGTGAAAACGTAATTTTCTAGGAACCATCTCAGGAAGGAGTCGTCCCTTTATCAAAATTGGCTGCGGCCACTCCTAAGAAGGGTGAGTGATGAGCTTTGAATAATGCTGCACCATAAGAAGATAACCTTACAGTGCCAACAAAGAAAAAGAAACGGAAGTGGTGCACATGTTTATAGCCTGAATTTCACTAGTACGTAGTACCTGAATAAGTCATTATGTGAATGTTCTTGCTTTGTCAACGATAAACTAGTTTGACTGAATCAATAAACGTTTTGAAGAGACAAGTTGTAAACTCAAGAAAGTTCACAGCTCAGGCTGGCTTAAAAGGTTTACTAGGCAGCCAGAGTTGCCCGCGTGCCAACGCTGTCCCAGTAGCGATCCATGCAAGAGCCCTCGTATGGATCGAGCAATTTTCCAGCTAGCATTTCCGCAGGACGGCCGTGAATAGAAGTGGCGCACTGGCCATTGGGCAGGTATGTCGCTGGCACGGCACTGGAACGCCACTGGCACGGCACTTGACTGCATTGTGCACGGACGTCTTTGAACGTTCTTACTGAGCCGGGAAAATTTTTTTGCGCAGTGAAGATAAAAGCCTGGAAAATTTAAGAGACGGCTCAGTATGCTTGCAATTACTTTCTGTCAAACTAGGAGTCAAAACAACGTCCGGGCAGATTTGAACATTTTCGGGCACTATCATAACCGAGTACCACGGCCTCGATCTAGAACTATCGCACAAACCCGACCTTTAAACACCCCATGCAAAAGGAGAAAATCGGAGCCGAAAAGAGTGATCCCTGAGGACCACGCCCACTCCCTTGCACGGCCCGCCTCCTTGAAAGAACTTCCTCCAATCCTTAACCTGTTTTCAGTGGCAAACACAATCGAACACATAGTGCTTACCTGTTAATACTTGCTTTCGACAAGGATGGCACTGGAAGCACTCGTCCACAGTTCTCACAAAATTGTCACACAAATGGAGATTTTGAGGAATTTGCACATTTTGAGTGCCATATTTGAAATCAGCGCCATGAAAAACCTGGATAAGGCAAAAAAAATCATAGTCGAGATTCTGCTTGGACGCTGCCTTTGAGGCTTACTGTCTGCATAGTTCCTCCTATTTTTCGGAGACGCTCTTTTTTTTACAAATGTAAACTGTTAAGTAGCTTGTTTTAAGCGGTAGTCCGGAATCTTCATTTACCTTCCATTTTATGCCTTTCAAACGATATATCATCAGAATGGTACAGGAAGAGAATAATCACGAGAATTCACAAAGTTGTATATCATTTGTAGCGCTTCTCGTGGTTTGTCCTGTGGAACAAAGTGTCCACTTCCTCGAACTGTCAAGAAGTCAATACCTGAAAATGTTTTTGAATAGGTGTTTGACGTTAGAACAATAGCATGAAGAAAACAACAAGACAAACCCCCTTCATACTTTAGCTGGAATCCAGCTACGGTGGGATTCTCGCCTATGTAATGCCATGGTTCGTTGACACGTTCCTTGCCCTGAACAATGAAAGATTAGCTTTTGTTTGGGTTACAGAATTAGTCACGCGAAGACGAAGGAATTACGGGGCTAAGATGCAAGCGCAAGCAGGGTGACGTCAGATATGTACTGGTCATTGTTGCAGTAACTCGGTAAATTTTAGATTGTTTGTCTTACAAGGGAAAGATAATTGGCGACCGTGGCCTTTTGGAATCTTATATATAAAGCTGAATGTCTGTTTGTATGTATGTCTGTCTGTCTGTCTGTCTGTATGTCTGTCTGTGTGTACGTATGTTCCGAATAGAAAATTCCATTTCTGAACCGATCCGGACCAAACTTGGCACACATACACTTCGGGCCCCGGCGGGTGTCATAGGCTACTTTTCGTATCGATCGATATCGATTTTATCGATTTTTTGCAAGGTTCGAGCTACGGGGCTGGGAGTTTGCACAGGGGGGTAATCGGGCATGTTGATTACGAATACAATATTAGTTTTTGAGATTATCCATCAGTTCTATCGATTTTATCGATTTTTTGCAAAGTTTGAAGTACGGGGCTGGCAGTTGGCAGAGTGTTAACTGAGCATGCTGATAACTAACCCTATACATTCCTATATATCAACATGCTTGCCTTGAAACAATGATCACGTTATCGCTTCGCTGAAGGCTTTGCGAGCTCATAGCGCTGACATTTTGCCAAAGAAAGCGAACTGCTGTATAATAACAGACTTTCGCTGCAAGCCGCAGCGTTCTAAGCTATTGTGAATTGCCATAGGATAATAGATTTGACTTTGATATAGTGTATCTGCGATGCCCATACTCGCTGACAATGTTTGCACGTAAACAATGCCGGAAGCGCAAAATCAGGATGTGCGCTCCATGGCCATTTCGCACGCGCAAATGTTGTCAGCAGATGTCGTCACCACGGAAACATTATATTCACGGTCAGTTCCAATATCCTATATGTCAACTAAAACCAACATCACGCCTACGATTGAGTTCATTTTAGAAATGCCAAGTTCGTCCGCACCGCCGAAATTTGAGTCACGTCTGCCGCCACTTTGGCATTTCACGGGAGGACCATGTTTCTTACTACGTAGCCACTAAAGTGTGCACATCTGACACAAATTTTTTTCTGCAAATCTGCGATGTCTCTACCTACGTTTCAGATAGAAATAAATTCTATACTGCTTTGCATTTTTCTTTTGTAGAACAGAAAGTTAAATTAATAATAAAAAAATTTAAGACCTGCGCATGCTCATTGTAATCATGGAATTTTGAATATTTTACATGTAAACTAACAATGATTGTGTGATTCAACTTTGTAAGGAACTGTCGATTCATGACATGATTGCACACGGTGTCGACATCTCCATTATATATAAGAATCTGAAAAATTCTTTTGTCACATAATTGCGGTTTGAATCATTGTAGTAGCAACATAGCAGACCTTTACACCAGCTGCACTAATCCTCTCAATTTGTGCCAACATATCAGTGTAGATTACTTCATAACTATTTTCAACGTCATTGCTAAAAGCGGCGGTCAACTGTGGTGTTTTCTTGCCTCAGCCTCACCTGCATTCAGTCCATCTAGGGAGCGATGTTGGAATATGTAAAGCTTTGCGAACATCAGCTCTGTTCAGGTAATCTTCTGTATTACCAATTTGATCGCACAATGGCACCTGCATTGACAATAAAACGATATCGCTGAAAATTAGAAAATGTGTGCGACCAACACTACTGTCACTCTGCGAATTTCTTGGAGGAAGTCCTGCTTTCCTTCTCATAAAGCGGTCGATGTGCATTTTTCTGCCGCTGGCACTTGAAGTATAGCAGGTACTGTAGATATTGTAGGCATCCAGTTTATCAGCAGCACTCAGTACCTAAAATTATTACGGCGCCATTAGTGGTCAAATGCAGCAAGTATTACGTCGATACAAATGTCTTGCCCCAGAACTTCTGAAAATGTGTATTGTATTGTTCCCCAACTCCGACCAAATTGTTTGGATAGAAAATTAGAGGAATCAAAATTTGAAATTTTAAAAAATTCGGCACAAAAACTGCTAAAATCAAAATCCTCTATAAAGATATCGCTGCGATACAAGTTAATCAAGGAGAGCACTTAAAAAGTGGTTTTTGGATTGCGGATTGCTAAACGAGTAGTGAAATCTAATTTTAGTTTTGACTGGTTTTGTGGTCTGTTTTTTCTAGCTAAAAAAGTTTGTATTGGTCATTTGTCTTTACAAATAGTTGTAGCGAATTATTTTCTTTGGGCTTTTTAGTTTTAACGTCTTCGGTATGTATAACAAAGCATTATATTTATCATGTGTGCAAGATTTGCATGATATAGTTTTAGAAGTTTTTTTTACAACTTTTAAATGAATTTCTACTATTTTTGGTGCAAGACTATGCATCAACTTGATAGTAAGTAGAATGTATACTAATGTGTAAAACGTGTGCAACGTTCATGGCATGAGTGAAAAAAGCCTTAATGAGGCTAAACATGCAAACCTTATACGGAAAACGTATGCGTTACTCATTCAACAACTTATTTAAAAAAGCTGCTCACCTCAAGTACAAGTGGTTTGCATACCGGATTGCTGTAAGCTGAGACGATGTCACAGCTCTCAATATTATTTTTGCAGCAAGTGGACGAAAAGTTTCGGTATAATCTGCAGCCAAATTTGACGCTAAGAAAAAGGGATGTAAGAGAGAAATCTTACTCGTCTCTCACCAGACCGTGATAATAGTATAAGGGAACCATTGTGTCGTAATTGTGGAGAAAATCCAGGGCTCCATTACCAATGGCCATTCCCTAAACACAAGATTCAAGATTCAACAGGCCATGCCACAAACGACAAATCCCTCGAATTCGCTCGAAATTACCTTGAAATTAGGAAAATTCGTTGGGTCACTGAGCATTTTGATTGCGAGCGTCGGAAGGTAAACGCCAGCATATGACTCTCCCGTGATAAATGTTGTTCTTCCCCGATATTCAGGAAATTTCTCCAGGAAGTTTACCTAAACTCTTTTTATTTGATAATCAGTTCTATTTTAGAATTCACAGAAAAGCCTACAAAAGCATTATAATTGTGCTGCGCAACATCATCGTCGTTCGTAGACACATTACCATTCGTGTTGAACGAAAATCCTACTCCGGAAGGTGATTCAACGAAGAGCACATTTGCAAACTGGAAGAAAACACCATGGTGCAAAACATGAATGTAGCCGTATTTACCAAATTCCATGAATATTCGTTAGCGTAAACATTTGCTCCATAATCGCTGACTTTGAATGGACCCAGCTCTTCGAAGAGGCCTGAAAAATTGGTCTCAATATGATTTTATTTTTGACTTCCAATTTCTTCTTTTTACCCATAGGTAACGGAGGCGACAGAGGAGCGAGGAGGGGGGAGGGTCCAAAACTTTTATAGTGGTCTACATGACTTATAATATTGTGCGAATGGTTTCTGCTCTCACATAATCAAAATTTCCGTAATGAAAACTAGCTTCTCAAGAAAATTTTGGGCTCAGGCCGCGCACGTCCCCTCACTAAAATTTTCGAGATTCTAAGCCCTCAAAAGTTTCTGAAACCATGCAAAATTCCTAGTGACTCGTTATTTAAAAAAAAATTTTGTCGCTCCAGCACCTCCAAATTCTTTGTCCGCTGCTGAAATGCATTGATTGTAAGCAAATACTAACCTGACAACGAAGAACATCCTGGGCCTCCATTCAACCATAAAATGAGAGGGTCCTCTGTAGGTTTATTCTGTGACTCGACGAGCCTAAATAGATATAGATAAAATAAACACCTCTTCCGAACACATTTTTGGATAGAAAATTACCAATCACACGACGAAGCTGTTTCACTTCAAATCATTTTACTCCAATGTCGACCTTCACTAGTACTTACCAATAACGGAAATCATCAGTGGATGATGCCTGCAGGTAGCCTGAGTAACTTTTGAATGCTGAGGTGAAGTTTAGCGCAGGTAGATTCGGTACTAGATCTCCCGACGGTGCGAGAATGGCCAAGTCTGTAGCGAACGTGAGGATTATCTAAAAAGACAAGTAGACTGCAGCTTCAAGACCAGGGTACATCTATTAGGAATGTGGCAATGATCGTGAAACGAATTTTCTCCACAATATGTGCGGTTTTAACGATTTAGAAAAAACCTTTTCGAAAGCAAGTTTTTTCCTGCCAAATGACGGGTACGATTTTTAGATGAAAGATGCAGCATTTGACACTGGTGACGTAGGCCCAGTAGAGGAATGAATAGCGTCGCCCCTGCGGACTAGTGGTCCCTTCGCACATGCTGTTGTTCACCGTTCGGGGACCACCAGCCGCGAAGGGGAAGAGGTATTTGTTCATCCATGTCGTACTCAATACTTAATGACAGTGTAGTCACTTATTTTTAAACTGTCCAACATGGATGAATTGAGTATCTCTAGGAGAGAGCGTGAATGATCTTCACACGTATACATTACTTCCAAACAAAGTTGGTGTACTGTAGATCCGCGTCAGTGCAGTCAAGCTTCTCAAAATTCACTTGTCTGTAGCCTTATTTTGCAGATAGCAGATGGCGATTGGAATGATAAAGAAACAAACCCAAGCAAACTCCAACATAGTGATTTGATCGGCAGTCACTGAAATACAGCGGCCGAATAAGTGATAACGCCAGAACGCTTAGACCACTCGCAGATAAGACTTATTCATGCAAACTAGGTACAATTTGACAATGCTATCGAGTTCCTTTACATCGTTGATGCATTTTGATTTAAATATCGAAAGCTACCTAAACTTCAAATTCAGCACGTTCTGAACCGTGAACGCCCAGTGCATTTCGCAAGCCTGCAAAGTTTCTTTGAAAGTAAAATGTGTTGCGGTTCGAAATCTCCGGGACTAACAAGGAATGCATGTTCAGTCCAAGTGGCCTTTTTAGATGGGACTTATACCATGTTAAAGAGCATGAATTGCTGATTCCAAATCTACCTTTCTTATCTGCAGAGCCTTAATGGACGAGGAGTTATGAGCGTTTATTGAGGCAAAAAATTCAATGTGCAAGTGAGACAAAAATAGCCAGAAAATCTTTTTCTAGCTTTTTAATGGAGTAGCGATAATTTTCAGAGCACTTTATTTAGAGAATACTCTCAAAGAAATACATATATATATATATCACACTTGTTTGCGTTATTTGAGGGCTAGTGAGACATTAGCAACTCATTTTATCCAAAATGCAAGTTCAGTTTTTCGCTCTAAAAAACGCTTATAACTTCTCGTGCATGAATGCACTGCAGATAAGGAAGGCAAATTTGGAGTCAGCGTTTCATACCCTTCAATATGGTATACATCCCATTTAGAAAGGCCACTTCGACTAAACAAGCTTCCCTTGTAAGTCACATCCGAGGTAAGAATCTCGGCAGCTAAGTCGCCGGCCACAACTGGTAATTGAAGAATAATCGCAAATCGCCAGCGATAAAAAGGTCGCTTGCGGTGTTCAAGTTCGTTATTCAACTATCACGTGGGACCGCTTGATACACATGGTATGACAAGGTACGAATGTAAAACGGCTTCAGTTTCCTTTTGCGCTGGATTTAGAAATAACCTTCATCTGATCTGTCAGCTTCACAGAGCTGCTGCAGGTGTACTGCAAATAACATTATGCGTGATTTTATTTGTTTGAAAAATGTTGGCTGATCCGTGATAGGCCTTGGTCCCAGAGAGGCAGGCAACTCAAAAATTGCATAGTCGTCGATGTGTCAAAAATTTGATGCTGGCTAAAAGTTATGCTTACCTCATAAATAAGGTTGAACAATGAGGTGAGGCAGATTTCCCTAACTGCAAAAAATAAACCAACTTGAGAATTAGGAAAAGTGTGAAAAGGACAAAAACATCCCCTGCTTTCCAAAAAGATGTCCAATTTGGAAATTGCATCATCCCACTTGATTCTAACTTGCACGTACAAGTGTTTAGCGAAGCTGCACATCCAGAGATTTTGCACAGATCTGTTCTCAGAGTAAATTGGATTTGCTGACAGCCTGCCATTCCTCGTGAATGTTTTCAATATCTGAACCATAGATAATCAAGAAAATATGATGAGGTCAGTAGTTGAAACAAGGAGAACCATTACTAATATTATCAAATGATTAATTTTTTGGTTTAAAAGTTCACATAGATCACGATCGCGGTGCTTGCTTAACCCTGGCAAACTGTGCCTCATGCGTATACTGTGCGTTCATGGTGTCGTGTTAAAGGCACGGTCCACCCTAGGAAGGTCTTAAGCTTTTGGCAGCATATGATAGTGTAGGGTCCCCTATCAAGCCAATGCCCAAGTCGCGGCGCGAAATGTCAGTTCGGAAGCGAGATCGCTCCGGAATGGCGAAGATGCACGAGGACACCCAGACTGCACCACCTGCCCATCCGTGCCCGCCCATACGTGCGCGCCCAGCCAATCAACGTTCCGGAAAGCCGGCATGCGGGTTCTCCGGAACGGGGATTGCAGGGGTTTTTGCGGATTCTTGACTTCAGATTCGGAGTCAGGGACATTAGAACGCCCCGGAACGATCAGCATGGAAGTCGAGAATCTGGGTGGACGGTGCCTTTAATAGCTTAAGACACGGTCATTAGCTTTCACCAACCTAACGGCAATATATTGGCTAGCAACGAATCCACATACAACTTCACTATTAAAAGAACAATATATGCTAGTCCTGCAAGTTCGAGGGAAATTTTCGATCACATTGCACTTTCATGTATCCGGAAATATTATGTTAGAACTCTGACACTGATAAGCTGCAGTGAGACTGAACTCTAATGAAAAAAAGGCGATAGATTGATTCACAGAGCATTTATCTGCGATATGCACGAGATCATAAGCTCTAAAGCACAGAATCAATTTACAGGCACAGGCACATTTACAAGATGTAAATTATATGATACAGGCATTATTTTATACATATGTAGGCAGTTATTTGAGCAGCAACATGTGCTAAACCGGCAGATATGGCAAGAAGTTATTAACTACGATTTACAAGATATAGTGAGCAAATATCTTGAATAACATTCAACAACACTGTATGAACTCAAGCACCGCCTAACTCGTCATCGAATTGTGCAGCGTGAGGGTGGTTTGCGTGATTGCTATAGCCAGCTGAAGTATGTCCTCATAAGGAGTCCCTGACAGTTTTGCAAGATGAGCTGCCACCTGTGATACTTGAACTTACTATCAGAATTAGAAACCTATCATTCGCGTAGTGTAAAATCATTTAAAGCAATATCGGTGCCTATGCGCTTACGATGCTGGTTTGAATGATTGGATATGGTATTAGTAGTAGTCGCTCAGAATTGACTTATGACAGCCCCAAATGTTTGGATTTTCACTGAACTCGTCAAGTTCAATGTAAGGGGTGGTCCACATGAAGTGTTACGCTGTGGAAAATACATTTTTGGTCTATTTCATGCCACATTTTAATGAGAATGGTAAATTTCTTCATATTCTTCTGTCCCTTGTGGTCTTCCTTAATTTCGATTCTCAGTTAGAGTTGATTCAGCACAAAAAATCATTAGATGTAATCGCTAAGGGAACCGCTAACGTATGTTTTAAAATTTTGAAAAAAAAGAGTCAGAAGGAGATTCTGAAGAACGTAAAGTTTTCTAGGGGCCGAAACAAACACTATGGACCCTGTCTGGAATTTTTTAGCAGGACTAGGACCAATCTATAGCAAAAAGATGAAAGTGCAATTGTGTAAAATCCGCCTTTCGGAGTCAAAATCATGCTTGGCCTTGAATTCGCCTAAAAACTCAAGATTTTCTTTTCTGTTACTGAAAAACTTGCTCTATGAAAACCATGTCACTCGATTTGCTAAAAAAATCAGGGACCAAAAGCCATGCGTAGAACATGAAAAATTCTCGAAAGCGAAGAAATATTAGGTCGGTCTGAAAGTTCGTGCCGTTTATCAGACCTACGCTTAAACCACTTAGAATGGAGATAGAAAAAAGCTGTAAGAGTATCCAACGCAGAAATTCTTCCTCTTTCTAACGGTCATGTTCCTGTTCAGATTTCCTTAATGTCCGCTCAACAATTTGCAGAAATGCTTTGATAATATTATAGTTGGATAGAACAAACAAAATGCAATACAATAAACTATTTTGGCTTCATCAACTAACTTTCAGTATTTCTTAAGATTTCCAAAAGCCCTTAATTTTGCGAAGTCGTGAAATCACATTCGCTTCAAACACTGACAAATCTTTGGAATTTTAGGCTTCCGGGAACAGCTTATTACTTAACGCTGATTTTAGTAAGCAACTGAGCGTTTAGCGGTTCAGAAAATTGAATTCTGAATTTTCTGGATACAGCCTGGAACGAGTATGGAAACAAGAATTATAATGCTTTTAGCTTCAGATATTATACAAATTAGGAAGAGAAGAAGTATATCAGGAAGAGCAGAAAAAGCTGCATCGAATGACACCTTGGTTGCTAGTCGTTTATGCTAGTCGTCTGTGAGGATTGAGATGTCCAAATACGGAGTTTGATAGCATCAGAAAATTTCCAAAAATTTTGAGAAGCCGGCTAGAGATGCCAAAAAAACTGTATTGTATTGCAACTGTTATCAAAATTAGCCAAAAGTTGAAAATGGAAATTTTGAAAAATAGTCAAACTGAATGGGTGAAAATCATGGGTTGGAGATCTTTGCTGGTTGTTGAGGAAGAAATTCTGCATCGGATAGCTTACAGCTTTTCTCTACCCTTATTCTAAGTGGTTTAGCATGGGTCTGAAATACGGCACGAACTTTCGGACCGACCTAATATTTTGCAAACGCCAGAGAAGGATAACTTAGAAGTCTTCCATAAAATCTTACAATTTCTTGTCTATCAGATGAAGATAGCAGCCTGCGATTTTATTGAGTTGTTGCAAATTGAGGAAATTTTTTTCGCGTAACACTTCATGTGGAACACCCTGTAGCATGGGTTTGCGTCAACTGTTTCAGTTCTCCAGTTTGTTTTTCTCCATGAAGCTGCTGTCTTTGTAGATTTCAACCCGTTTTCACGAAAAATACAGCAAACCTCCTTCGTCTGGTCGATCGACAAGACACACTGAGCTGCTGCTGTAATTGTTCCACCACCGAGCAACATCCAATCGGCTTTGACACGCTCTATATCAGCTCTGCAATCGTTCATCTATTATGATAATGAAACTGGCTGACAGATTTATACTTATTGTCATCGGAACCTGCCATCGTCTCAGGACCTCAGAACCTCTCAGCAAATCCCACTCCGTTTACACTGCAGTTCTCATATAGCGCAGAAAGATAGCGGCCGTTTCAGAATTTCAAGTATAGGCTGCTGCATGACGAAAGCGCATATCTTCGGGCGCGAACGCGGCTTTATTAGCCGCAGAGCGCATGAGGTGCGGGATCTACAACGGTGAAAATATACGCGCGTCGCGTTCGCGCACGCTCAACTAATATCGCCATTGCGTCTTCGTCCTGCAGCAGCCTTTAGACTTATTGCACAAATGAAGGCTGATGCTGAGCATAGGATCGAATGAGTATGGTACGATCAGTACTATAAAAGTGATAGTCTATTCTTCTTGAGGTCGATTTTCTGCTTCTGCGTTCGGTAAATACTTATTTCAGACAAAAGATTTTTATGACCAGATCTGGAAACGTCTAAATACTGTTCAAACTAATACATGCAATTCTATCCTAGAAACCAGTCAAGAGGTTTTTGATTTGAAATGGATCCCCCCTCCCGCCCCTCCAAGCTCTCCTCAGGGAGTGCACTGATCATGGGCTACTATATGTTCATAAATTATTTGCTCTATTTTGAGTTTTAGCCATGAAACTAATACCCGGTTCAAAAGCATAACGATTTCTTGGTTGAGAAAGATGGACAAACCTGGAGAAAGAAGGAGTGAGACCGTTTTCTAGCATCGCTGATTTCAGCACGACTTGGTAGACCTCGAAATAGATATATTACAAAACTTTTGATGTCGATGTCAAGAGTGATTTGTAAGAGATAAAGAAAATCATCGAGAAGTCCAGATTCCCCAGTCTCTTGCACTGCTTGGGATACTACGGTTAATCATACATAAACAAGAAATTAAGTTTACTGCGAAGCACAAGGTTATTTGGGGCTAATAAGCACTTTTCAATGTCAAAAAGCTGTGAGCTTTTGATGATGTGATGATTTATGTCTTTTGCCAAGCGCTAGGGTACCAGAGTTAACGATAAGTATTGTAAATGATACCTTGTAAATTCTCATGAGCAAATTCCACTCAAATGTAATTTTCCAACTGCCAAAAAATTCAAGATTTCTCTTCTATTTAGTAATGGAACATTATTAAGTAGAAGGAAAATAGGCAATAGGCTGTGTTGTGCAAAGGTAACTTTTAGATATTCTTTTTTTTTTTCGACTCCTGCACCAAATGGCAACGAATGCCGATCCATCCTATAGCCAGTTTTGTCAAGCATAACAGCTGAGCTGATAACGAGCATAGAAGTTAGATAAAAAGGTCGCAATGCTCACACGTAGTCGAAAACAACCCGGTGCACAACGTTGACAATTTGCTTTTCTCCGAATGTTTTCAGCACCAACTGTTTCCCTAAGGAAATGAGACATTCGATGAGCAACAAAGAATAAATCATTAGCTCACAAACCAAGATAACATAAATTTTATGTACAAAGATATACTGAGTCAAACCAAATTCTATGCATCATTCTCAAAAATTGCTGCTTTTCTCATTGATATTTTTCCTGTCGTCAATCTAATCAAAGAAAAAATCACGCGATTTGCGATGGTACCTTAGCTTTAACTGGGCAGGAGTTATAGACATGAAAATGAAAGGAAAAGAATGCTCCAGCTTGGATGACTTTTGACCACAAAATGTTATAAAAAAACAAGATTAGAAAAGTTATGATTATAAAAACATTATATTTGGCATGATGTCTTTGTTTCAAACCATGATTTTCCACAGAAGCGTTCGATCTGTATAAACTTGCTTTATAGTAAGAGTGGGCAAGAAATGTGCTACTGATGTCAGATATATGCCCAGATGAGCGATACAAATAGCATACTGTAATCCTGTACATAATTTAATATGCCGCTCATATAATCGTCCTTATTGAGTCAATCTGTTCTCCACTAGATTGAAAATGTGTTGATAAGGAGGAATCAGAACCTACTGAGCTCCCAGTGTTTTTCCCAAACTCTCAAATACATTACAGCGTAAACATGTAATTGAAGCGATTTTAACCTATGCAACGCGTGTTGCCTCCACATGTTATCGTTCATCATTCGTAATTTTCTCAGATTTTAGCAAAGTTGCTTAAAATCGTCGTAATCTTCTTCTTCCACCCTGTGATGAGATTAATGGCATGCAAAACGATAAAAGGGAAGTAGCGAAATCAAAAACAGTAAGACAGATCAATGCCTGGTATTGTGTTTATTGTCAATTATATCAAAAGCTGATAATGGCACTTCGGATACAATCAGCTCAAACTCTGAGTGCAGCTGGGCATTGAGCTCCTTTGAGTGATTACTTGACTAACCCCTGTTTTCGTTCCTTTTGAGAGTTTATCGATTCATTCAGCATGTTTTGTTCCGGATTTGAGAAAGAATCTCGTGCAAAAATGGGAATTGCTCGGTAGGCATGTATTACATTAGGCTGAGAAAAAAGCGAAAGTATCTTGTACAGAAATTTATCTACTCTCTCAGAGCGAGCAGACCAACATAAGACATTAGTTCAACCACCAAAAAATGGTAGCAAATGCTATCATGCAAATATTGAGTCGAATCTCAAGGACAGAGGGAATCATCACATTTCAGCGAACATTCAAAGATAAGATTATTTTTAACTATCTATTTCTGTGGTTGCAAGTCAAACAAGCCTTGATTTTCCAAATGACGATATCACTAACTGAAGCACATCAAATTGGCCCACTCAAGCTTACAAATTGTACAAACACTGCGCTCTGCTAGACTACACTGCAATTGACAATTAGAAAATCTTCGAAGAACCAAAAAATTATGTAGCCCACGCATTCTCCCAGCTTTGTTTTTTTTTTTGAAGAATGAACTGTGCCCCTTGCTACTTCAGTTTTTGTTTGTTCTTTAGGATCTGTACCTGTTCATGATGCAGAAAAACAACGTCGAGAAACATTAAGACGTGCTCCCACAATACTTTGAAGTCCACATCCGACCATCTTTGAACTAAATATGATACTACTGTTTTGTAGAAATGCAGAATAGGCCAAAACAAACCCAAAGATTTCAAAAAAGTTTCCGGATACACGAGAGGAGAGCGCGGTAATCGGTACTCCAAAGTCTTCAAAATTCTCAGTTCGGATTTCAAAGCTGCGCGCTGAGTATAAGCGAATCCCAAAGAACGCAAACAGGAGCAAACTTGCTTCGACGACAGGCTCTGTAATAATTTTGAGTCAATTAAGATAAGCGCGGATTTGTGCAACCTAACGTCGTGATAGCTGAGAGCTTTGGATGCGATTTGTATGGAAGAAAGCATACGGAGTGTCGTCTGTCTGGAATCCATCAATGTTATCAGTGGAAGGGGAAGAGAGAAAATGGTTCATGAATTATTCAGATCAAGTGCCCTGTTTTTCCAATCAGTATGTAAGCCTTTTTCAGGTGTGCTGTGAAGAATTCCATGCATAAGTCCATGTTCGGCTTTAGAAGGAACAGGTGGCTTACACCCCAAACATAGGTCAAGATCATTGTAGAAGCTTCTCAAAATTCAGAACGAATCAGTAGAATATTTCTGATTAGAACTTTTTGTGAACTAAAAAAAATCCAAAGCTACCAAAAGTTTTTCCCTCCATTTAAAAGAAATTCTAGGTCAGTTGTTTGTCCCCGCTTCTTATGGAATCTTTGAGACTCGCCTCTGGAAGGTTGTAGCAATTACTTGTAGCAATCACAAAATTTTATCGAACAGTTTCCATCAAATTCATGAAAGCGATACTGTAGTGCTGATGATTGTAAAAAAATCAACAGACCGTGAGAGATTGGCTTCCACCCTCTCCCATTCACGAAATCTTCGTTTATCGCTCATCTTCATACCATCCAGAAATTCGATGACTTGTTCGGTGTGCACTCGCATGAATCTCAAAAAAATGCGTTATTGTGGTAAATTATATGCAGGCTGTCTCAATATTGAAGTGGGTAGGAGAATGCGGACTACTGGTCCTGCAACGACATGCAACAACACTGCGAAAGGACCAGTTGGCCGCAAATTGCGTCTCAAACTGGCGGCCTTTGTTCCTTAACCCTTGATTTGTCCACTCCATAATTGATGCTGTTCTTGCCAAGCGCCTGACCCCGAACGCTGCTTTTCAGGTCATAGTTAGAGTATCTCGCGGCTTCACAGCGCGAACTGCAAGACTTACAGTTTCCCAAGTATTTCATCTTCTCAATGACTTCCCAAGTATTTCATCTTCTCAATGACTTCCCAAGTATTTCATCTTCTCAATGATTTCCCAAGTATTTTATCTTCTATGAATCTGTTACAGAAATGCATAACGTCAAGGCGGAACATCAACGTCAAGAAGATATCGTTGCTAAGTTGCCATGCCATCTGACTCCCGTTCCGTTTTCCACTTATGCAAAAAGTGGCAAAGCGCCTTTTTGGAGAGCTCTCTCGAACGTCGTTTTTGACCAAGTTTCAAACACATCAGCATGTTATCCACAAAGTTGACCAAAAAGGCGGAAAAAATCTAGATAAAATAATTAAGGAAATTAAAGGCATTAGGTTATATGATGTGACCACAGTTTTGATTGATGTACCCTATTTTCAGGTGTATAAGCCACACCCTTTTTGCTCTAAACGCGAGCAGACCCAGGCGTGCCGCCGCGCCTATCTCTCGCGAAGCGGTCGCCTTATCGCATACTGCTCTCACTTAACGCGCTCCATGATGACAGTCAATCTTTTAACGTGTTCGCCTTTAGAGTGAAAAGGGTGCGGCTTATGCACCTGAAAATAGGGTAATCGTATTTGTTCTTTTCAGTCCCAGACGGGGGATTGAAAAGAACAAGTTTAGTACAAAAGAACAAGTTTAGTTACCTTAGTTTGAGGTGGTGTGGTACGGTAAACGGTGCGTGTATCTGGTGCTGCAGAACAGCGAAATTTCACTGAACCATCAAAGAGTACAATACCTAAGTATTGCTTCGGAAACGAGAAGATTGCTTGAAAAGCTGCGATAGAGCAGCCTTTATTGTCGTATTCACAGCAAACAGAGAAGCAAGAATGTGACCGTAACCAATCACAGCGCCGCTGCGGCGCATGGCAAGCTTCTTTTTGCAGCGAGGACAAGCATAAGTCGATGGAGGCATGTTCGCTTTTTTTGTTCGCTTCTTTCTGAAGCAACATAGGCCACGCTACGCAGGCTATAAATTTAATAGAAGGTCTATCTGGCATTTTGCTGAAAATTTCCATACCGTATTCCCGTACCTTGCAGCAGCTTCCCCATACTGCCTTGAATCCTACAATTACACTATGGAACGTTGATGATTCATTTCCAAGCATTGCATCCAAGCGGATACCAAATGAAGCAATCCCAAGAAGAAATTTAGGAAGTCGATTAGCGACGATCCGGAACTTTAAAGAACCGCAATCGGGAGGAGTTATGTGATAGCGTGAAGGAGTGACACATTGATATCGCGCATGTGCAAGAAATGGGAGGAATGCGGGCCAAGGACATCGGCGAAGGTTCTGTCATCACTACGCGAACATTAGCCAAAACGGAAATCTTGTCCTATCATCTTCCATACTTCAGCATTTACATCGTGCAGCGATCATTACAGCGTACGTTGGGCGAACACCGGGGAGGCAATAGCTCGACGTCATTCGTTAGAGAAGTGTCCACGGGTGTGGACTCTGAATGCCCCTCGTCTCCAGACATCTGAACACGTTGGTGAAGTTGTCAAACCTCTATTGCAAAGCACTGCTCTTTGTAATCTCTCGCTATCAAAAACTGCCGTGTGTGTCAATATATATGTGGCAGTCTATAGAAAACAAAGAACCACGCTTTGCATCAGAGGATTGACAAGTTCACCAACGTGTTGGAATGTCTGCAAATGCTCCACTCAACATACACCGGGGAGGCGACTACAGCAAGCGGTGCGGCAGTGAGATAGAAGACGCGACCTCCCGAATAATGATTTGCGACTGCACGTTAGAAAGGCTTAGTATCTGGAATGCGGGAAGCATGCCGAAATCAGCATGGATTGACAACCATGAGTGAAGTCGCCATTATCAAGTACGTGGACTCCCGCGTAACGCTGATACGTGCTATGAATGCGGCCTTGGCTGAAATGGCGAAGCAAAAGAAATATTCTGCAATCGCCAAAACCAGCGTAACTCAGATCAAAAGTTCAACAGTGGTAAGACCAGCTGCCCTGCATGGAGCAGTGGACCAGCAACCAGTTGTAAGAAGCACGAGCAGATCTTGGGCTCAAGGAGATACAAATGGAAACTCGAAGGAATTGATATGGAAACTCGGCATCACTGGATTTCGAAGGAACTGATTTACGAACACCGATGTGCAGTACAATTTGGAGTTGCGATCGGAGACAAAGCATGGGGGAAGTTTACGATGGTACGGCCACGTCTAACGAAGTGAAGAGTTTATAAAAAAAATGCACCACTCAGCTTAGATCCCAGAAAAGAAGACCTCGCTGCCGGCAGAAGCAATGTTGCTTGCGCACGACTCGAAACGATCAGCACGTGGCAAATTTCACACCACTGAAAGCAGCAGATCGAGTCAAATGGTGATCAGGATTCAACAGCGAGTGGCGGCAAATTAAATTTCCTAATTCTTTACTACTGCTCCCACTCCGGAGTGTCCGGAGTTGCAATGCAGTAGAAACGATATGTCCCCTGTAGGCTCCACCCTGCGGACAGCTGGCGCGAGCTTATAGTGGTGTGTGACGTTGCAAAAGTCCATGCGGAACCCTCCTCTCCCTCACTTCCGACGACTCAACGTATTCTACGCGTATGAATGAGGTGCGTCCCCATCTCCATGGCTCTTATCACATGTCACATTGTTTAAGGACCGTCCGCGCTCTTCATGTTTCGATTCTCCGACAGTGGCATGCAACGAAACTTCTATCCTGCACGGGTTTGATTATACGCCACCGTTACGGACTGGCCTCGACCATGGTTAAAGGCAGTGTCCGGACAAAAACTTGATTTTGAGATTTTGTGCTTACCCGGGCCTATTCGCTATGCTGAATCCGAAAATCCACATTTTAAAGCGCGAAAACGACGAAAAAGGGCGCTAACACTGGAGGGAAATCAGGAAGTGGGCGGGGTCTTCCCCACTGTGAATTCACGCTTCCAGCTTCCAGAGCATTTTTCTCGAATCCGTTAGCCGCTCTAACATCACTACCGATCAAGTGCAAACGAATGACTTGAAACCGGAATCAAAACGATCGCCCCCGAAGTTGGGAGCGCGAATTCACCGTGGGGAAGACCCCGCCCACTTGCTGATTTCCCTCCAGTGTTAGAGCCCTTTTTCGTCGTTTTCGCGCTCTCCAATGTGGATTTTCGGATTCAGCATAGCGAATAGGCCCGGGTAAGCACAAAATCTCAAAATCGAGTTTTTGCCCGGACACTGCCTTTAAAGGCAGTTTCCGGGCAAAAACTCGATCTTGGAATTTTGTGCTTACCCGGGCCTATTCGCTATTCTGAATCCGAAAATGCACATTGGAGAGCCCGAAAACGGCGAAAAAGGGCTCTAACGTTGGAGGGAATTAGCAGGTGGGCGGGGTTCTCCACAGAACAGATTTCGCAGTCGTTACACCTTTTGCCACAGTATTCCTGCCGCTTTCAAAAGGGTAGACCCCGCGCACTTGCTGTTTCGCTCCTGCACTAGAACCCGTTCTCGCCCTTTTCGCGCTCTCCAGTGTGGATTTTCGGGTTCAGAAAGCAAATAGGCCCGGGTAAGCACAAAATCTCAAAATCGATTTTTTGCCAGGACATTGTCTAACTGCACATTCACTGCACGGAATCGCCCGCGTCGCAGTAGGCTGAACGCCGCGAGCGTGTTTGATGCGCGCCCGCAAACTATGACCTGTCCGTGCGGTCAGCGATTCGCCAGTAGATTCTAATAGCCCCTCGACGTCGCGGTCGCCTGCGCTTGCTTTAGTCCTGGGCGGAGCTCATGTAAGAGGCTTAGCGTCACGTAGTCATGACTCATTCATTCAGGACGTGGCCAGTCTGTTCGAGGCCTCGAGGAGTCTCCCCATCGACAGGCTACTGGGCGGTCGGATCTGTTCTCGCTCACCGTCTCCCGCTGATGCGGGCTGCCTCTGTATTCTCCCACCGGCTCGCCCCAGGACTATTATCTTGACCTATCCCGTTATCCCGCTTATCATGCTCTCCATCTAAAGTGCGGTTCTTAAGTATACGAACACCCCAAATCTTGAAAGTTTCTGGATTTTTTGAAGAAACTCAAAAAACCGTTGTAACCACGCGATAGAGCACAGCCGAAAACGGTATACGATCTACAAGAATGGAGATCGATGTCAATCTTAGGAGTGCTTTTGCGCCTACAGTAAGTGTCAATAACGTACGGCCTTTCGCATAGGGGCTCGCATGCGCAATGCAAAAGCCCTGCGTGCGATCTCCAATCGATGAGGCCCATTTGAATGCCCGAGTCATACGCGCGCGAACGTGGTGCGAGCTCATTGCGTTTACGGAAAAGGGAGCATGTGATTGACACGAACTGTAATGCGAGTTTCAAGCGGTTCATAATTATACGAAAACTTCAAACAAATGTCCATTTTTTATTCAAGGTTGCAATCATTTGAGTCCAAATTTTTTGTAGAGTTACAGTAACAAAGTCTGACATATGTGCTACACACTGACTCTAATTAGCTTGTACCAAGGCTATGAGAAAAAATAAGCTCTTTCGATAGATATTTTGTCTGACGGTTGGAAAATCTATGCGTTTTCGTGCCGTTTTTCAACGAAGTTCCAACCTTGTCCAAGAGTTAGCACGATTTCGAGCCTCAAAACTCAGCTTCTCTCTCGCGTCAACATTTGATATGAAGCACCTGCATTCTTTGCATGATGATGTATCTGTGCCAACGTTTTTGCTTTTTT